CGCCTCTGTACCTCTGCACTTTACTTCCGCACCTCCTCTGAGTCTCAGTGTGCTTTTCTCTTTCCTTCTAGTTGTAGATTTTCCACTCAGCCAGCCTTCCTGTGGTTCTGGATGATGTCCGTTTTGTCTTTTAGTTGTATTTTTGAAGTTGTTGTGGGAGGCAGCAATTTCCAGTGTTTATCTATGCTGCCATCTTGGTTCTAATCAGAGTTCAAATTTCTTAATCACTTTTCAACTCTGAATTGTCAATGTCCATTTTTTTTTAAAGGATGATGTCCTGTGGGTCATCAGAATGTTAAGAATACATCATTTTCAAATTAATCTCTAAAAGGAGTAAAGCTATTGGTGCTAGGTACTTAAGGAAATATTCAGTTGTATGAAGTTAGCCTACCTTCAATTCCTGCTTCTGGAATATTGCCAAACACATCTGATGGACATCTCACGCACTTGTCCACCCAGCTACCATTTTTCTTCTTGGAGTTAAAAGACCCTGATACCCATTCTGTAAAGTTTGTTGCTGATGCTTTAGATCAGTGGTTCTCAACCTTCTGGCCCTTTAAATACAGTTCCTCAGGTTGTGACCCAACCATAAAATTATTTTCGTTGCTACTTCATAACTGTAATGTTGCTACTGTTATGAATCGTAATGTAAATATCTGATATGCAGGATGGTCTTAGGCGACCCCTGTGAAAGGGTCATTCGACCGCCAAAGGGGTCGCGACCCACAGGTTGAGAATGGCTGCTTTAGATGTTCACATGGGTACAGGCAATAACAAATGTGTCACAACTGCCCCGAGCACCAGGGATGCTAAGTTTTTGCCAGCTGTAAGACAAATGTCCATTTCAGGTATGTTAAAGTGTGAAAAAATGTGCACCTTAAATTGTTAAAATATAGTCACTAGCTGTGTGACCTTGTCCAAGTTACTTACCCCCTAAGTACCATTTTTCTTCTCTGTAAAATTGGGTTAATAACACCTACCCTATTGTGATGTTGAAAGCTTTAAATGAGACTATGCAAATAAAACATAAACTCAGAACTCGGCACATAATAGGCACACAGTAAATAATTGTCTTTTTTTTTAAATATCATGAGCTAAAGTAAAGATTGCAAAGTTTTACCTGGCTCTCTAGAGACGCCTTTAAACTTTTAACTTCTCTATCTGATTGTTGTTCCTTAAATTCCACTGCACATCAATGTTCTCCTCGTGAATTTCAATTAAAAGACCATCAGCACATTTGTAAAAAAAGTCAAAGATTATTTTATGGACTTAGTACTTTCTAGTGTCCAGTAGACAATGACTCCATGAATGTTTGATGATTTAAGGAATGAACAATCTTGAAAGGAATAGCCCTAAATAGAGAAAACATCAAATCTTTAAAGACTTTAAAACCTTTCATGGAATGGACATACACAGAATTATTTTCTAATATTTCAAGATTGTAGTCATGGCATTTTCAAAATGCAAGTAATTGTTATATCATAATGAACTTATGGTGAACCAAATATTATTTTAGCCAAATCTTAGCAATTTCTGCACGTGAAGAAGTACCAAGTCAATATATTTTCAAATATTCCTGCTTCAGATAAGGATAACCACGTATGAAGAGAAGCTTCCATCTTCTAAGCATAGCCCAAGGGGATTTTTTTTTGTCCATTCAAAGTTATTATGCTAATTATTAAAGTCGCCGAAATAAAAATTTCTAATACTGACATAGTCAAACTTGAGCTGAGTAAATTCTACACCATTTTAAAAAATAAAATATCAGGTTAATTTTAAGGACACTTTACTTTCATGATTACTGTTGTATAAATTGCTCTTAATATTCAAAGACACAAATGCTTAGTATTTTTTCTTTTCATAGAATAGCCATGTTAATATATGAAAGTTGTTTAATAAGTGAAGCGCAGAAGACTGAAACTATAAATAAATGAAAACATATCCATAAAATATCATTCACCACTTAGCAACAATCTCCTTAAGATTCCTAAATATTCCTTAATCCTTTTTTTTCTTTGTGCAATTTCTTTTTAATTTTTTTTAAAAATATATTTTATTGATTTTTTACAGAGAGGAAGGGAGAGGGATAGAGAGCTAGAAACATCGATCAGCTGCCTCCTGAACACTCCCTACTGGGGATGTGCCCGAAACCAAGGTACAAGCCCTTGACCGGAATCTAACCTGGGACCTTTGAGTCCACAGGCTGATGCTCTATCCACTGAGCCAAACCAGTTAGGGCTCCTTAATCCTTTTGATAAGTAGATTTCAGCTGCTAAATCAATGTGAAAATGGGGACCATGAGGACCCTGCTAACTTAGATTATAAAAGTTTTATTTAAATGTTCATACCATCTGTTTATATTAAAGCAAAAAAAGTAAGTTCTTGAAATAAACAACCTGGGGACAATTCAGACACTACCGAGGAAAACTAATGTGAAATAATTTTTAAACTAAAAATTTCTGCCTAAAATCTCCAAGCAGGGTCTGTCAAATCATTTCACCCAGATTCCAAATACAAACCAAGATAGGTATTCCAATGCACAAGACATTTCTGATCAGTGGACAATCATCTATTGAGCACCTACTGAATGTGAGGCACTATTACACGTTTTCAGAAAACAGCCATGAAGAGGAAAATTTTCCCACATATGTTTTAGTTTATATTAGCTAAAAGTTAATAACATAATAGGGAGTAACACTACATACTTTTTTAATAAAAAAAACAAATTAAGGTCAGAGAATTGGTAGTGACCTAGAGTTGGGGGGACTGTTGTTCAGAGAAGGACCCCATAAGTGACGTTGAGAAGAGACATGTATCATGTGAAGGAGCCAGTCATGCAAAGGGAGGGGTTTTCCAGCGACAGCAGTGAGAACAAGGCTCTTGTGCAGGAATGAACCTGGAGCACTTGAGGAAGGGCAAAAAAGGCCAACATGGTTGGAAAAGAATGAGATGGGAAGGGCGGTAGGAGGGATGGGGTCAGAGGGCAATTAAATGGGGTCTGGAGATATGTTTAGAAATTTAATTCTACTTTGTGTATCGGAGAGTTGTTGGCAGGTTTTGACCAGAACAGTAGTATAATATGTGTATTTATGATTTATGTATTTAAAAGATGAGTCTATCTGTGGGAGTGGGGGGAAAGGGGAGCAGTTAGCTAGTTACATTGGCCTGGGGAATAGGTGATGGGGCTTTCAAAGCCCTATAAAATTTTGATGTGTGGAGCCAGCAGGACTTGCTAATGGATAAAATGTGAGATGAGAAAAAAAGGGATAAAGAGATGTTTAATTTAATTTAGATGAATTTGTGTCACTTTCATGGTAGTTCTTGTTGTCATGGAGATAAGGACTAAAATTCAATGCTGTGCAATCTCAACTAATGTTTTTCATGAACAATACCAAATCCGAATTCTAATTGCTGTGTCCTCTATAAATAATCGATGCCATATTCCTTTTTTCTCTATTTGGTTTTATTTTTTTCAATCACCATTTATCCCTCCATACCCTTTTACACCTCCACACCCCTCCCACAGTCACCACACTATTGTTCGTGTCCATGAGTTCTTTTTTTTTTCCTTTTTAAAGTCAATGTCATAATTCTGAACACCAATTTTTCAGTGTTGTCTCCAATTACCTTTGGTGATAGAACAGGTTGCATTATGAAATCAGCCAAGAATGCTAAAGTATACCTCTATACAAATTAAGAAAAAAACTCTAATCTTTTTCTCTACTTCCCAATCTACTTTGACATAAAATTGTATTAACGGTCACTAAAAATGATAATTATATTCTATTTCAAATTTATTTCAGGTAGGTCATGTCTCAGTTAAGCCTAAAAATTAATTATATTCTATTTCAAATTTATTTCAGGTAGGTCATAAAGTCTCAGTTAAGCCTAAAAATAAATATTGAAAAAATACAGTGGATGAGTTGTGTGCTATAATTAAAATAGAGTAGTATGGTCTCTGGTCCTTATGGAACTTATCCAACTGTGCTGCAAGAATTTTTCTTCAGATGTGAACTTCTATCCAGATGTGTCCATTGAGCTCCATGAGGTCTTTGCCAGCTGAGTGGTGATCATTTTCATCCTTCTCAATTACTAGAGTAAATCAAAGATTAAACATTTCACATTATACAACAGAAATTATTCTGGGCTCCTTTACATGGCATTAAAAGTAAACATTTAGTTAACATCTTACAGAGCTGTGTGAGTTCTGTCCCAGTCACAGCTTAACTCTCCTGTGAGTGAGAAACGCGAGACTAAAATGCAATCTTCCCTATAGGGAGTTTAAAAAATATCCATAGCTATGCCATAAATAATTCATTTGAAATCTTGTTCAGGTCTTAATAAGGAAAGCTTACAAAAATGACCCCCTCGTGATAATGACTTTAGACTCTGCAAACGCTATTCTACCCTTACAAAAATCAGTGTGTGCCCACACCACATCTTCAAAAGGAAAGGAAAGAGGTGTGTCTATGATAATGAGAAGTAAGGGTGCTTTGGGTTTAAAAAGTAGGTTTTAAAGATTTAACATGTTTTTTGTTACCCTTTTATTTTCCTCACTGATGACTGTTTCTTCCAGAACACGAAAGATGAATAATGCATGTTCTCCTTGGTAGATAGAGACTGTAAGGTTGGCTCAGGGTGTTGCAACATTTGGACTCACATCTCACCCAGCCTTCTGACTGAGAGGAGGATGCTGTGAAATCACTAGGTGCCTTGGGAATGGATCCATGTCCCACTCATGTTCACCCAAAGCACCCCAGTGAAACACATCCTTTAGTGCCTCTGCTGACGAGCCGAGCGGAACCCACTGCTGACTGTTGGAGAGCGAAGCATCTCTTGTTTTTATTTCTTAATGAGGTATTCCAAAAGGAAGGGGTTTGCATAACTCACGTGACTCTGCAGGTTCCATTTCAAAAGAAAAACAAAAACAAATGGTTTGTGGTTCTGTTGAGTCAAGCCATGATGTGATGTAAATGTACTAACAGTCCTAGCAAGGGCACACTCATGCTTGTGAACCCTGGGCCAGCAAGGGAGCAGGCTGTTCCCAGCACCGATGAGCTATGTGTCCAAGAAAGAAGCTGCACCAGCCCTTCCTGGTGGGCCCAGCCTCCCGCCTGCCCAGCAAACCCGCCTGACTGCGGGTGTGGGGGAAGCTCCTTGTCCAGACACGATGCCCACCCAGGCCACCAGGGAGGAGGCCGTTCAGGGACAAGCTGGGGAGAGCTTGGACCTCACACTGGCTGGGGAACCCTAAGGGGGGGAAAGCCCTATTTTATTCTTTCAATGCAGTTCCCAGCAGGAAGAACAGGATAGGAGGCTCCCGCCTGCTCCAGATTAAAGGAACCCGCAGTTTCCAAGTGAAGAAGGGGGGTTCCTTGTCCAGCATTCGCCGGGTCGGCAGCTTAAAGAGCAGCAAGTTATCACGGCAGGACTCAGAGTCTGAGGCTGAGGAGCTGCAGCTGTCCCAGAGCAGGGACACTGTCACTGACCTAGGTAACAGAGAGGAGTGGGGTGTGCAGGGACGTGGGGGGTAGGAAGACAGGGCCCAAATCCTGAACAGCCAAAGTCCATTTTCTTACGCATCCAAAGGTGGAGGGCAGAGCCATAAGTTAGACCATTCATTCAGTCTGAAAACCATACTACCCTTAGAGCAGGGCTGCCCAACCCTTAGTGGGCACATGGGTCACCTGGGAGTCTTGATAAGATACAGATTCTGTTTCAGTCTGGGGTGGGACCCTGAGAGTCTAGACGTAAAGCTGATGCTGCGGGTCAAGGTCCACAGTTTGAGGAATGAGGACGTAGAGTATCTATTTGGGAGAGAAGACACTTTAGTGACAGGGGCAGTTTTTTGAAATCCAGATGTTTCTTTAAAGCAAGACATAAGTATTCCCTTGGGGACAGCTAGCTAAAGGTCTCTATGTTTTAAAGTTTCTATTTCACATTAAAAGCAACCAAAATATCAGAGAGGGGCGATTGTCTAGAGCTGACAGTTAGTGACCTTCAGCAAGTCAGTGTCTCAGGAATTTTTCTCCATCTAAACAATGGGAATAATTCTATTTGCTCCTTGCCTACTCTGAAGGGAGGCTCTAAAGATAAACACCTGAAGGTGAGGTCTTTATACAACCAGAGCATTGGGGATGGAGCTTGTCACTGTAGGATCCAAAGAGACTCTGAATCTCAAAATGTGTTAGTCCTATGGGCTCTGGTTATCATCTTAATAGAAAGGAAGAAGGTTAAGCAGGCATGCTGATAGGACTCACTAACTGCCTGGAATTTAACTATTACGTAAAAGTTGAAGCACACTTTCTTTGTCATTCAGTCCCTATATGAGAAGCAAAAGAGAAACGTCTCCTTTCTAGGTGAAATTGTTTCAGAAATCAGTCAGGAACTATCGATAAATGACCAATCGAGCCTGCGAAATAGCAGCTGAGTATATCTATTCGAAGTGAGTTTATAATAGGAAACATTTCTACACCCATGGACCCTTGCCTTTGAAAATAGCTAATTTATGTGTTTAAGATTCAGCTTATGTTTTAAGGAGACAATAGAAGAAACCCCATGACTTCTTTTGGTACAGGTTTGAAACTGAAGCAATATCATCAGTTAGTTTGGGGTGGGGGGGGGATATTCAGTTAATTGAATTGGTCAATTAAGCCTGACCAGTTGAGTCAAAATAGCCAGGGTAGAAGCATAGTTTTGTCATAGAGAAAACCCAAGAAAGCTTTTAGATTTGAGGACAAAGCTTCATTATTTAGTATACTAAGTAGTGAATTCCTGAGAGGTGTCTCCTGCATATGTTCCCACAGAAGGAAATCCTTTTTGTCCACGATTAGACACATTTGCTTTCAAATTCCTTTTTATTTTTCCAAGGCACCTCCCCATCTTTGAAATAGCTCTGCCAGTAAAGCCAGGTGGTGTTAGGGACAGTAGCGCCATCCATAGGCACAGCAGTGGAGGGGGCAGTAGCACTCTGTGTGGCCACTGCAGGTTGGTTGGTGTCCCTATTCAACTCTACCTGCGAGGTCTGGGCAGTCTGGAATGCATTTGGGCACACTCACCCAATAACTTGCTCATCTCAGCAATTCAAAGACTTGACCCTGTTTTTTCTCTGCTCCCATGTCTAAACAGGGAAGCCACCTTAACAGGGGTCATAAATGTCTTTGTAATTGCCAGTACAGCTGATGGTGAAGGGAACAGCTCCTATTAATATTCCTCCACTAAAATCGAGGCTATGCCCTGAAACCCACTGGGCCATGGTAGTCTGCCCTAGGATTCAAAAGCATGGAGAATTGTACCATACCAACGTGCTCTCCAAGGAGACCGAACAACATAACCTCTCTTGGTATTTTTCTTTTGAAGAAGGGAGCCCGTGGAGTGCAAGCGAGCCCAGCATCGAGCCAGAAGGAATGAGTACTGCCGGCACAGAGGAGAATTACCACAGGAACATGTCGTGGCTTCATGTGAGTAGGAATCTCAGAAAGAACCCTGAGATCAATTTCTTTGGGCACCTGGAAAGATCCATGATGGGAGGACAGAAGATTATACTAAAGCCATCAATCCAGTTTAGTCTTCAAGAAAAACCAGAGGCTTATATTTCAGTGGAACCTCTCAGTATTCACCATAAGTGGTGTTCTGCTGGGTACTATTCCTTTTAAGTTTAACTAAGACCAAGGATTCTTTGTTATGGCTGACTTTTGGGTCACCTAAGTCAGGGAAAAATCATGAATGGCTAGGCCAGATTGGTGGTCAACACAGCTTGAGTGACACAGGCAAGGCATCATGACCAGTTTTATGCAGGTTATCACAGATACTGAGAGCAAGGTCATGGTGCTGGTCTTGAGTCTGCTCTCCATCCAGTATGGCACATAGTCTCTCCCAGGTTAGGGGTTGGGGTGGGTTCTAGTTTCAGGAAGGGTGGAAGCATCCAGAGGATTACTCTATGCATATGTGACTAACCTTGTGGCTCTAGAAATGCTAGTGCCTTTGGGGAAGGCACTGAAGAGTTCACTCCTTGTCTTAAAATAACTATTTTAAATCAACTGAGTTCTTTTCTGGAATCTAACTTGGGAAGTCTAGGAGATGTGAGGATTTGAGCCAGATCAAGCCACAAGTAAGGTGCTAGAATGGCCTAAAAGACAAAGAAAAATGTTAATTTGTGGAGAGAGGAAAGAAAACTCTACAGTGGAGTTCAAGGCCTAGCTGAAGGTCATAGGTCAGGGTGGAAGATGCAGAACTGTGTTTAAGTTCCATAAAGGGGGGCTGGAGTTAAAGACCATCCCACAGCTATCAAAGGTCAGCCAAATCCCTTAGGGCAGAACTTCTCGTCAGTTTATGCTCTTCTATCTGGCTCCTTCCGAAATAGAAGAGCTGAAAAAATACTGTGATGTCTTTCAAGGTCAGAATCTTCATTTGAAAATATATGGAAATCATATTCTTCAAAATAATCATTTTAAGTTTTTAAAGATTACAATCTTTTATTGTTTCAAAAGATCTTTCTACCAAGTGTGAATGGAGGTAGCAAAAAAAGCCAAGTACATTAAGGCTTATACCTCTTTGTTCTCTTATGGGAATTATTGAATCATTGTGGTTTCAGGACCCATCAAGGAACATTGATGTTCTCAGTTTCCATCTCCCACCCCACATATATGTTCCTAATTTGTGTGCACTCCGGTGGCCCGGTTGAGTCTCAGAGACGTCTGTGTTTCAGGTCATGATCTTGCTGTGCAACCAGCAAAGCTTTATCTGCACCCATGTTGACTACTGCCACCCACACTGCTACCTGCACCACAGCCGCTCCTGTGCCCGGCTGGTCAGGGCCATCAAGCTGCTGTATGGAGACACCGTGGACTCCCTCCGGGAGAGCAACAACAACAGCAACGTGGCTCTCAGGGGCAAGAAGCAGAAAGAGGTGAGTGACTGATCAGTCAGTACAATAATATGCCAGTTTCAGGGAAAGTGATGTTCTAATAATCTTTCATCTGGAAATAAAAACTTCGGATCACTGTAGTTCTATCGCAGGCTACAGGTCTCCCTGATTCTGAGCAAAGGTAGAAGATGAGTGCAAGAAAGACAAAGGATTGGTCTTCATGTCCGTGAACAAACATGGAATCATTTCCAAGGTTTTGTCTTATTTCCATGAGTAAATATGAACACGTGGGGCAGTAGTAAGGAGTAGGTTATTGTGGTAGGCAGAATAATACCCCCACGTTGTCTGCATTTTAATCCCTGGAACCAGTGAATATACCTCATGTGACAAAAGTAATTTCGACTATAAGAATAAAGAATCTTATAATGAGGAGAGTAACCTGAATGATCCATGATAAGGGTCCTTATATGTGAAAAAAAGAGGCAGGAGAGGCAGAGAAAGAGATGTGACAACAGACGTAGAGGTCAGAATGAGGCAGGGCTGTGAGCCAAAAACTGCTGGCAGCCAGAGGCTGCAAAAGATAAGGCAATGAATGATTCCCGAAAGCCTCCAGAAGGGATGCAGCCCTGTCACTCCATCGTAGACCTCTGACCTTCAGAACTGTAAGATAGTAAATTTGTGTTGTTTTAAGACATGAAGGTTGTGGTCATTTGTTAAAGCAACAATAGGAAACTGATACCATTAGGTGCTATTAAGAAATAAATGGCCCAACTATTCACAGATAAATAGATAACACAGTCATCTAGGTCAAATCAGACCTAGAAACTCCTTCAAGAAACGATTACATTTTCTAAGCATTCAGCTGCACTTTCCTGACAGCTGAGCTGGCAGAAGATGAAGTCAACCGCCAGGCTGCCCTGTTCCTGCCAGGAAAGCCTTGGGTTGCCCACCTGCCCCTGAGCAGGCATGATGGCCAAGACGCCCGACTGAGTGCCGCTGGCTGCCCAGGCAGCTGCTTCTCCCAAGTGGTTTTGCAAAGAGGTTTTTATATAATACCTATTCATTTCCATAAGCATTCATGGTGCACCTGCTGTTGGCGCAGTATTAGGCCAGACATTCTGGGAGACATGAAAAATAAACAAGTATGAGGCAAGGACCTTTTGCAAGCCAGGTTTGGTGGGTTGGGGGAATGACAATTAGATACAAATCAAATAGCTAGAGAATATGAGCAAGAACAAAAATTTCACAGTTGAGTTGTGTAGCAATTTGTAATGTTTTAGCACTTGCAAAGGGATTTAAAAAAAAAACAAAACTACAGCCGAAACCGGTTTGGCTCAGTGGATAGAGCGTCGGACTGCGGACTGAAAGGTCCCAGGTTCGATTCCGGTTAAGGGCATGTACCTGGGGAATATCAAAGTCTTTTAACTAGACTCTATTGCATCTCATGGTATTCAAACTACACAAATTCTGAGGGAAAAGCAGGTGGGGAATAGATCAATGTGGGTAACAAACTGCATGAACTGCTACATGCTGGCATAAAAGAAAAATATATACATACGCATGTTTGTGTGTATGCATAGAGACAGACATGTATATAGACAGATATACCTCAAACATACATAAATGACACTACATTCAAAGAAAACCTATTTTCATTAGGTAAGCTCTCCTACATACAAAAAACTTCCTTAGCTTTAATAGAAAACCATATATATTGGAAGTTGTAAAAGTAAACCAGCCTAAAATGAATGTTCATTGTTCACACACTCTGAGATTTCTTTCTGCCGTATCTGTTCCAACTGTACCCTCACCTGTAAATTCATACATGACCAAACCCAAACATCCTTCAAACTCCAACTCAAATCCCCCCTCCTTTCAGAAGCCTTTTCTGATCTCCCTAATGTTAACCACAGGGCATACTGCAGGTGGATAGGCAATGTTATTTTTCTTCCCTCCTTTTTTTAAATGACACAGGCATCTACTTGTGCATTTTTAATTCTTCATTCAATTGAAGAATTGAATTCATTAATTCATCCATCATCTGTCTATTAAATTTTTAAGAACCTATGGCCCATGCTGAGTCCATACTATGTGCTGGGTATGATAGTGGGCTGCATAGTGCTGGGGTGTTTCGTGAGTGCCCTCCCGCTCTGGTCCAAACAGGACACTGGGCTGAAGCAGCAGGAAAGGTTTCTCTGCATTGCTGACATTTCTGAAAGGGAAGAGAAAGGAAAGAAGTGAGTGTCCTCTCTTCTTAACTTATTTAAATTAGTCATATGGGTGGAGAGCTTAAAGATGCATTGAGTCTTCTGTGGTAAACATTTTATTTCCAAAATGCCGCCTCCTGTTCAAGCTCTGTTGTTGTTTTTCCCTCTCATGATGTTCCCATTTGCCTGGTCTGATTCTGTCACGTGAATGAACAATGCCCACATTTTCAGAGCCAAAGTGAAAACAGAGTGGGCAGTAAATCAAGAATGAAAGCAGTGCTTCTGAATAAAGTCAAGTATTATGAGCAGTCGGTAGTTTGTTCCTATTTCCTTTTGGGCTGGTTTTATGGTAGAATATGTGTGTGGCAGTGAGTACGTTTTGTTAACCCATCTCACTCTGACCCACCTGTTCCTCTGCATCTCAGTGCTCAGAGACTCACTGTGCATCTGGTAGTCTATTTCACTGCACTTTCAAACTCGAGCGGTTTTATAAACTACCAGATATATACCAAGTTCACCAAAGAATTATTAGATTTTCCTACATATCTGTACCTTGTCTAGTGGTATGTTCTAAACAGAGTAAGTGTTCAATTAGTGCTTGCTGATGAAGAAAGGAGTCACATTTTCCAAAAATTCTGAATAACATTTGTTAAATTAAATATTGATAAGTAAGGTAAGTTTTCATTAAAAAAATCCAGACGTTTCCATTTGCCTGGTCTGATTCTGTCACGTGAATGAACAATGCCCACATTTTCAGAGCCAAAGTGAAAACAGAGTGGGCAGTAAATTAAGAAAGCAGTGCTTCTGAATAAAGTCAAGTATTATGAGCATTGGTATTTTGTTCCTATTTCCTATTTGACTTGTTTTATGGTAGAATATGTGTGTGGCAGTGAGTACATTTTGTTAACCCATCTCACTCTGATCAACCTGTTCCTCTGATCTCAGTGCTCAGAGACTCATTGTGCATCTGGTGGTCTATTTCACTGCACTTCCAAAATCGAGTGGTTTTATAAACTACCAGATATATACCAAGGTCACCAAAGAATTATTAGATTTTTCCTACATATATGTACCTTGTCTACTGGTATGTTCTAAACAGAGTAAATGTTCAGTTAGTACTTGCTGATGAAAAAAGAAGTCACATTTTCCAAAAATTCTGAATAACATTTGTTAAATTAAATATTGATAAATAAGGTAAGTTTTCATTAAAAAATATTCAGACAAAGGATAAAGGAGTAAAATATTTATAAAATTCAAGAATTTATGTTTTAAAATAATTGTAATGACCTGGGAAATATTCATTATAATGTCATAGTGACCTTCACAGGGTAGGGGATTTTAGACACCTCATTTTCTTCTATATAGTTCTTTGTGTTGGTTTTCCAGATATTCTGCAATTTGCCTGTATTGTTTTATAAATAGAATAAAAGAGCAGTGCCACTTTCTTAAATTCTAAAATTACATGTGATAATCATTCTCTGTATTTATATGGAAAATGATTGTCACATAATTTTAGAATAGTTTTCAAATTATAAAAAAAAAGGCATGGTGTTTGTGCTTGTTTATTGCTTTACATTCACAGAAAAAAATGCAGGATTTCTCTCCCAAAATGATATGTGTTCACAAAAATGTGCTTCCAAGTTTTTACCTTTAGAAAACACAGCAAAATTTTGAATTCATTTCCAACTATATTTCATTTAAAAAGTTCATTCCATACCAGTCATATAATAGATGTGTTGTCTTGGGTCTTTTTGTCAGAGTTTTGAAAGACTTTCTTGGAACATGCATGTACTTTTAGATTTGCCTTCCCTTTCAAAATATCTCCATCTATAACACTGTAGCGCACTGTTCAAAAATCTTAAGGAGCTCAGTTTTGTCCTTTGGCATTGAGGGAGAAAGTGTTTCATTGACATGGCACTGGAAAAACAAATGAGCACTTATTCTGTGCAAAGGGATGGATCCCTCTTGGCACAGCCTGGAGTGCAAAAATAGGAGGAAGCTGGTCTCAGGATAAATAAACAAGAACCTGTCACCGTTGGGACCGATCATTCTCCCAGCTGCTCGGTCCACTCCATTCTGTGGCATTTAGGAGTCAGGGGAAGACATTGTCTCCTTCGTGCTTACAGAGATGAGTCAGGCCTATTCTTGGACCCTGGGGGAGGGACCAGTTTGAAAGGACGATTAGATGAGCATGCTTTTTTTTAAAGAAGGTAGCCTACCTGTGCAACTCAGGCCTAGATCATAGATGCTCTGAACTCGTGCTTCCTAGATGGGTCTTTTTATTATTACTTTCTAACACTCCTCCTTGAAATGGTTTCATTCTTATGTGACCAAATGGTCGACTTGTAACCTCCAACCCTGTAAAGGGACTCCTAGGTAGAGTGGATTTTAACCGACTTCATATTTTAAAAGATTTGTGTTTTAACAGCTTGGTGGAGTATAATTAGCCCTAAAATGAAAGTCAAGAGGCCCTTGTCCTTTTCTCATTCTGCTAACAACCAGTTTTGCAACTTGGCCGAGTTACTTCATCTATCTGGATCCCGTTTCCTTCGTGTAAAGAAGACCTGTTGATACATATCCCTATGCTTCCTTTTTATTACAAAGTCAACTGCATTTAATTTTCAAGGAGTGTGCACCCCAAAAGGCCTGAAATCGTCTTTCCCATGAGATGAGGAGGGTTGTTGGAGGATCTGGGGACACTGCGCTGCGGGTTTGGGAGCGAGCACAGCACTCTGCGTGACATGCCCCTGTGCTTTTCAGTGCTCAGACAAGTCCTGCCTGAGGACACCTTCTCTGAAGAAGAGAGTTTCAGATGCCAACCTGGAAGGGAAAAAGGACTCGGGAATGCTGAAGTACATCAGACTGCAGGTATTGGCACCTGGATCAGAAACAGTCATGGAGCCGTGACAGGCAGAGGGCTCCAGCTACCCTATTTGCTAATGTTTGGTTCATATGGTGCCATCTGGCACCGTGTCAACATGATGGTTCCTTTAATAAATGAGCTAGGGTGCCACCAAGTGTGCAAGGAAAATACCCCTCCTTGCTAGACAGCCAGCTTCTACTGTGACAGGGTTTTTGGAGTATGGCTGTAACCATGCCTCTCCCCTCTCTCCCTCCACCAATGGAGCTAGTTTCTCACTAGTGTGTGGTGGCGGTGCTCACAGGTCTTGGAAGGACAGTATCTGGGCTCCAATCCCACATCTGCTGCTCTGGCACCAGGCCTTGGGCAACTTACCTAATTTCTCTCCGTCTTAGTTATCATCCCCTATCGGATTATAACTAGACCCATCTCAAAGGATTATTGCATGGATGAAATAAAATAGTACTCTTACCTACTTATTCAGTGCTTGACACTTCGATATATTGTTATTACAACCAAAGCTCTAAATCATAATACATTTCCCCATGGGGGGAAAATACTTTTTATGATTTTCCTGAAAGTGTTTAAAATAATAGTTAAAGACCTAGACTTGCTTGGAACCTATATTGATTGCCTAAATTATCTGAAATAATGGATTAAATAGGATTTTGTGAGCTAATCAGGGGTAGCAACCATAAGGTATAATAGTATTTCAAGGGCAAAATGCCATCCAAATTCACACTGGTTTAGAAAACCAACTTCCTGAGTAGAATCCCTTTGTAAATTAGAGATTGCTCGTAGTTTTCAGTGGAAATCAACTCTTAACAGGAAAGAAAACAGGATGCTTCAAAAGCCCATCTGGCCTGGCCAGCATGGCTCAGTGGTTGAGCTTCATCCTATGAACCATGAGGTCATGGTTCAATTCCCGATCATATATTATTTTATTTTTTTTTGTTACAGCCATCAGGACTCTTAGCACAGATATGTTGGCTAGAGACTCATTTTTCTCCTAGAGCTGTACTTATTCTACAGTTTATTCCTTAGGTGTTTGCAAAGCCTTTTTTTTGTTGTTTGTTTTTTAATATATATTTTATTGACTTTTTACAGAGAGGAAGGAAGAGGGATAGAGAGTTAGAAACATCGATGAGAGAGTAACATCGATCAGTTGCCTCCTGCACACCCCCCTCTGGGGATGTGCCTGCAACCAAGGTACATGCCCTTGACCGGAATCAAACCCGGGACCCTTGAGTCCACAGGCCGACGCTCTATCCACTGAGCCAAACCGGTTACGGCCAAAGCCGTTTTTATGGTGAAAGCATCATAAAATTAGTATGATTTTTTCCTAATTATGTACCAACTAATAAGGTATAAAGCTTATAATATGCCATGCCAATAAATATGCCCCATTTTAGAAGGTATTCTAAGGTCATTTAAGGGAAGTCATTAAAGTCATTTACGGGAGAAGTGGCACATAAGTCTCAAGGGGAGAAGAGCAATCACACATGTGAAGCCATGGTTTCCATCTCTCCCAGGTGATGAGCCTGTCGCCTGCTCCCTTATCTCTGCTCATCAAGGCAGCACCAATTCTGACGGAGGAGATGTATGGGGATATCCAGCCAGCTGCCTGGGAGCTCCTGCTCAGCATGGATGAGCACATGGCTGGGGCGGCAGGTAAGGAAAGACCACCTGGAACCCCGGTCCTGCTGCCACGCATCCCGGTGTTCAAACAAGAGAGAGACGCATTTATTCCAGTTGCACTCCTAGGTCAGATGGACAGCAGTTGTTAGAACTGAACAGAGCCATGCACTGCAGTGAGGCAGGCCTTGGCTCTGGGTGTCCTCTCCATTTCACTGGATAGTTTGCACAGGAGCAGTGGGTCTCTCCCAGGGTGTCACCAAATTATAGAGAATGGTTTTCTCCAGAACCTACATGGTCTCTATATTTCACAAAGAATCAAATTCTTCATTTTGTTCGATTGCCCAGATTTACATGAACCACCATCATTTGTTTTCTTAAATCTTATGCGAGCCATGTTCTATATCCAAATTACAATATAAAAACAAATTTGTTGAAATTTAAGTGACATGTCCAAAGGCAGTAGGTACAAAATGTGGGTTCTTCACTTTTTTTTCCTGCTTTTTGAACATATTTCTTTAGTTTTATATACTTATTTTAATTGCAGAATACGCAAGGTGATAATTCAAATAACACAAAAATGTATGAAGGTAAAAGTGTAACTCTTTTCCCTTGACTCCCAGTCCACTTCTTCAGAGGCAAAAATTTTTAAGTATCTCAGGACCCTTTTGGGTACACTAGGCGTATGTATGTATGTATGTATGTATGTATGTATTGCATGTTTCCTTTTTCACACAAATAGGACAACACCATTTACATTTTTCATTTATATCTAGGAAACCATTTTTTAATTTTAAGAGTTTATTTGAGCAAAAATGCAATTCAAATTGAGCAGTGCCAAACCAGAAGTGATGAGGAGCTCTCTAACCGGAGCTCAGGGAGAAACTTTTATAGAGAAAAGACAGAAGCAAAGTAAGACGGTTATTGACTGGCTGTAACTTAGAGCCTAGTCGACTGTTTGTGATTGGTTTTTCTTAGTGTATTGATTTATATCCTGAGGCATTTCCCGGCTAAGATTTTGGTTTGCTTACACAGGCACCCATGGCATTAAAGCCACATCCCTATAATGGCCTCCTTGTTTAATTAATTTAACAATTTCCCCCTTTTGGTTACCTTCTCATCTGAGATATTGATCAAAAAATTGGTATTAGCACCAACTTTCAGTCACCATTAGAGTTCAGTTGCTTTTGTCTCATTGTGAAACCCATAGGCTATGTTGTCTGATCTATGGAAGCGTTGTTTTTTGCTGTTCATCTCTTTGTTCATTTTATTTCTGTGTCTCTAAGCACAGTGATGTGCCACTGATAGCTGTGAGCGTGCATATCAGACCTCTAAGAGGACATAGCAAACCAGGGAGACTTCACTGGTAACTATTAGGAGGATAATACCAAGAAACTGAAGTATACTCCTTAGCCAGGGCCCCCATGAACCAAACCAGTGGTATCAAATAAATCAAAGAATGTAGCTGAAAGGGCATGAGCCAGTTGGCCTGTTTGTTAATTTCTTGCATTTGCTACAATACAGAGGTGCTGACCCGTACAGTGTGAGAGATTTTTTGTGACACAGACAATAAGGAAATCATTCTAAAACCTCCTTCGCAAGAAACTTCAGGGGCTTTTGTTGTGCAGCTATGGCCTTAGCAGTAGATTCACCGATAGTTGCCAGAGTTAAGGTGCAAAAATCAAGTGGTGAAAAGGCAAAAGAAATAAAAGTTTCATAGGAAGGGGGGGGGGGTGTAGGAAGAGATTATCCAAAGAATTTATATGCATATAAGCATAACCATGGACATAGACTATAGGGTGGTGAAGAACTGGGGAGGAGGGCAGGGGCAGACTAAAAGGGGTCAATGGGGAAGAAAGGGGACATCTGTAATATTTCAACAATAAAAATAATTTAGCCCTAGCCAGTTTGGCTCAGTGGAAAGAGCCTAGGCCTGCCCCGGTTCGATTCCGGTCAAGGGCACATACCTCAGTTGCAGGCTCCTCCCCAGCCCAGGCCCTGGTCAGGGCACATGCAAGAGGCAACCAATTGATGTGTGTTTCTCTCACATCAATGTCTCTGTCTGTCTTTCCCTCTCTTCCATTCTCTCTAAAATCAATGGAAAAATATCCTCAGGTGAGGATCAAAAGAATAAAAAATAAATAAATTTAAAAATAATAACATAGAAATCATGTCACTACACTTGCTATGTGATCCAGCCATTCCACTCCTAGCACAAAACAACAAAAAAAGGATGAAGACCTTGATCTGTGATCATGGGAGCGTTGTTTGGCCACAAGATGGCGTCTGCTTCTGGGGAGGAACCTCTTAGTGAACTTGAATTTTAGATTTCCCTGGGGCGTACAGTTCCAAGAATCTGGAGGAGCTCTTTTTAGTTGGAGGATGTAGAGCCAACATTCAAGTCCCTGAAGTTTGGCCGCCGTCTGTATAGTGAGGAGGACCTAAAATGGTTCATTTCTAACAGATTTAAGGGCAGTCTTTATTTTTAGTGATTCCAAGTCAGGAGTGTGGGAAAAAATTGGAAACGTTCGTTAGGAGAGTTGAGGCGAGATATTTGAGGAAACTATACGAATTCAGGATCCAGTTTGGTGTATAGATATGTAATAAAACCTCAAAGACAATGAACAGGCCTAGAATCTGATATCTACAAATTTGTATTATAATTTTCTACGGAAACATATTTTTTCATCAACAATCACCCTTATTCCTATCAAAGACTATCACAGTAAGATGAATTTGTTTGCAAAATAAATCTAGTCTTGTTAAAGTTGGCTCGATCATTTATATGAGTGCAACGAGAATAGTGTTTGACCTCTTTTTAAATGTGCTTTCCTGGAACTTTTCAGAAGAAATCTTAGGTTGGACTTTTAAAAGCCTCTCCAGACTAAGAAACCAAGCCAAAAACTCACCATCGGACTTCACCTACAATAACTATATAGTATTTCGGTAAATCTCTCTCTTCTTGAAGTCCCAAGATATCCAGTTCCTGGGCCTACCAGGAAGTGATCTTCCTCACTCACCTGGAAGCCTGCAGGGAACCCTGTAAGCAAGGTACCAGGCCAGTTTTTTCCAAGAGGCTCAGAAAATGACTTCTGAGCTCCGTCAAGTCAACCTTCATTTCTTAAAACTGTTTGGTCATATCTGATTTCATGCATATTCTCATTTTTCATTAGCTTTATAACTCATGGCACCTGACCTTTCTCTTATTGTCATTTATATTTCCTGGAAATTAAAACAAAAAGCCCAGCTGGCATGGCTGAGTGGTTGAGCATCTACCTATGAACCAAGAGGTCACTGTTCAATTTCTGGTCATGGCACATACCTGGGTTGCAGGAGGCAGTCAATCAGTGATTCTCTCTCATCATTAATGTTCCTATCTCTCTGAAATCAATAAAAATATATTTTAAAAAAACAGCAATGGTAATATGATTTATTAAATCTCTTTCAGCTTCTCAATCTCTTTCTCTAGGAAGGGTAAAAGTTAAAAGAGTCTATAAGGTAGATTTTATTTTTAACACAACTGATGTAACTGAGATAGTTTTTAATTGACATTTTTATATTTTCTCCCTGGGTTATTATAAGGTACCTCTAGCCACTTCCTAAAAGGGATATTTTAATATGCAGTCTCCTTTTTTCATTTGCTCCCTCTGGCATTCACTTTGCACTGTGAGCCAATGCAGACTTTGCATAGAATGAGTTATTCTATTGAAATGTCATGTTGTCGCTGCCCTCACCCTAGATATAGGATGATGTTTGGTTTCCAGTGACTGAGGTTTGCTTTTGCTGATGCTGGTGGCCTGGCTTGATGAGCTCAGAAGTCATTTTCAGGAGATGGGGGCAATTCTCCCTTCTCTCCATCCCCTGAAACCAAGCAGTTAAAAGATATGTGGCTGATGAATGGCTGACTGTCTCTAGCTGCCATGTTCCTGCTGTGTGCGGTGAAAGTCCCCGAGGCCGTGTCCGACATGCTGATGTCAGAGTTCCAGCACCCGGAGACGGTGCAGAGGCTGAACGCCATCCTCAAGTTCCACACACTCTGGAGGTTTCGCTATCAGGTCTGGCCCCGGATGGAGGAGGGAGCACAGCAGATTTTCAAGGTGAGGGATCCTTCCCAGGTGGGAATTAGATTAACAAGCCCCACCCAAACGTTGTTGAAATCCTTGAATCAAGTCTGCAGTGTATGGCCCAAGAGATGCTTCTTTTTGTGTTTCTCTGATTATATAAGTAAACTTAACTCATCCGTGAATGAATTCTTATTGTTAAAAAATGAAATATAGAAGAACATAAAGTAAGAAAATCAAATCTCTGTAAACCTCTAGATATCACTACCATCCCCAGAGGTAAGCACTTAAAAGTTGGGTGTATAATCATCCAGACATTTCACTATATATACACAGATAGATGTATTTTGGAGGATGGGGTGATTAACAAAAATAGGGACCATCTAGTTGAAACCCTTCACTTGATTAATGAATAAACCGAGCACTAGAGTGGTTCATCCTATTCTCTATAACATCCTGGGCTCTGTAAGATTATGTCATAATTATACTTCTGAGTCATTCAAACTTATTCTTCATCTTACTCACCTCATTCTTTTGATATCAACTAACAGATCCCGCCTCCCAGTATAAACTTCACCCTGCCCTCGCCAGTGCTTGGAATGCCATCTGTCCCCATGTTTGACCCCCCGTGGGTCCCTCAGTGCAGCGGGAGTGTCCAGGACCCCATTAATGAAGACCAGTCTGTGAGTAATCGGCGCTTTCTTTCCCCCAGGCTTCATGGTGTACATGTAAGAGAGAAGAACAAGGAATGTGTTCGTATGTTTATTTGTTGTCATAATAACATAAGAACAACACAAAAAATCAGCTACAAAGGTCTTTTGTTCTTGTGAATAGCACAGAAGGAACTGACACCTGGATGAGCATTTGCAGACTTTCAAACCAACACAGTTTTGTTTTTATAATCAAAGCAGCAGCCACCTTATAAAGATATTAAGAGTTGATTTCTTGGCCAAAGGTAACACTTTTGCCTCTATTTGTTATAAAACAAGTGTTTTAAACTTATAATACATAAGCTACCCCAAAGTTAATGATATTGGCCCTGGAAAAATAAGAAAAAGTGCTGAGTTGGTAGCTCTTGTTTCCTTGTTTTGACCTGAGTCCATTCTTCATCTTGTTGATTCCCAGTATCATCCTCACAATCATCACTGTGAGACCTCAGGTCTTAGGCTGCTCTAGTAGGCCACTGCTCTATGTAAGGTAATTTATAAATAGTTAAGTTTAGAACACTTTCTTTATAGACAAGAGCCAAGTATATGTGCCTTTTGAAAAAAATGAATCTTCAAAATAACACTTTTTTACCTTTTAAATAGCATTTTTCTAAATTACAAGAGTAATGTAGAGAAAAATTTTTAATAAAACAAAAATAAGAAAAAAAACACATCTCTTTGCACAAACCCGTGATTACAAAAGTATAGGATTTAGGGTAATGGTATGTAAATATTAAAGATTTTTTTAAAAATATATTTTTATTGATTTCAGAGAGGAAGGGAGAAGGAGAGAGAGATAGAAACATCAATGATGATAGAGAATCATTGATTGGCTGCCTCCTGCATGCCCCACACTTCGGATTTAGCCCACAACCTGGGCATGTGCCCTGACCGGGAATAGAACCATGACCTCCTGGTTCATAGGTCAATGCTCAACCACTGAGCCACGCTGGCTGGGCAATATCAAAGATTTTTGATACATCTCACAAAATATCTCCAGGAAGGTTGTACCATTTTAACCTTATACGATAGAATGGGAAAGTGCCCCTTTATTCCAATTAACTAGTGTTCTTTTTTAAATGCCATTGTGAATGGCACAAAACATTATTTTGTTGTTTCTATTCCAGCTTGTTTAAAAAGTTAGCTGAATATGTGAAGTCAGGTTAAACATATTGCATATCACACATACATTTTTTAGACATTAAAGTTTTCTTTGGGGAACTGTTTGTTTGAACTCTACCCATCAAAATCTTTTATTTTAATTCTTTTGCATACAGTACCTTTGAATCTGATGGTTTTTATGCCAAAGAGAATGTCATACCTGGTTCTTCCCCCAGATGTGCAATCATTTCATCATTTGAACCACTGGCATAAAGATCTTTGATTTTTCTCCCATATAGGTGATGGGTTCATTTGAGCCAATCACATTCTGTACTCCACCTTCACAGTGAATTTCAAACCAAGTGCCCTGGTTAAACTATCTTAACCCCGACTCTGAAAATGAATTGCTATTTAGCCCATCAAATGTCCTGAATTGCTGTTGTGCCATTCATTATATGAAGCCATTAGTCTTATGTTAAGATCCTGCTTAAAGGGACTTCTATGAATGCAGCCCTTTAGAACAGTGACAAACAACTCTTGTCTGTCTCTAAAACCCTATATGACCACTGGCAACAAAGAGATATGCAATAACTATTATACATAAACATTACTTCATATCGGCAGTGAAGAACTCCTGTGATCACTGCCCTGCTCTGAGACCACTGACTGTCCCCAAAGCCCTTGACTTGTCTCAGCATAAACATCATGATTGAGGCACAAATAGAATGGCCATTATGCAGAGTGAAAGTATTCTCCTTTATTGTGTCTTTATCTATTATGCCTTAGCCAATGGTAAATAAAGTCAAATTTTACATTCAATTTATAACACCAGCAATTCTCATAATTTCCATCAGTAACTTTGTTTCTACAAATATTCAGTATTTACACTGTGTTAATGTATTTATCTACAAACTAGAGGCCTGGTGCACGAAGGATTTAGCCCACAACCTGGGCATGTGCCCTGACCGGGAATAGAACCATGACCTCCTGGTTCATAGGTCAATGCTCAACCACTGAGCCACGCTGGCTGGGCAATATCAAAGATTTTTGATACATCTCACAAAATATCTCCAGGAAGGTTGTACCATTTTAACCTTATACGATAGAATGGGAAAGTGCCCCTTTATTCCAATTAACTAGTGTTCTTTTTTAAATGCCATTGTGAATGGCACAAAACATTATTTTGTTGTTTCTATTCCAGCTTGTTTAAAAAGTTAGCTGAATATGTGAAGTCAGGTTAAACATATTGCATATCACACATACATTTTTTAGACATTAAAGTTTTCTTTGGGGAACTGTTTGTTTGAACTCTACCCATCAAAATCTTTTATTTTAATTCTTTTGCATACAGTACCTTTGAATCTGATGGTTTTTATGCCAAAGAGAATGTCATACCTGGTTCTTCCCCCAGATGTGCAATCATTTCATCATTTGAACCACTGGCATAAAGATCTTTGATTTTTCTCCCATATAGGTGATGGGTTCATTTGAGCCAATCACATTCTGTACTCCACCTTCACAGTGAATTTCAAACCAAGTGCCCTGGTTAAACTATCTTAACCCCGACTCTGAAAATGAATTGCTATTTAGCCCATCAAATGTCCTGAATTGCTGTTGTGCCATTCATTATATGAAGCCATTAGTCTTATGTTAAGATCCTGCTTAAAGGGACTTCTATGAATGCAGCCCTTTAGAACAGTGACAAACAACTCTTGTCTGTCTCTAAAACCCTATATGACCACTGGCAACAAAGAGATATGCAATAACTATTATACATAAACATTACTTCATATCGGCAGTGAAGAACTCCTGTGATCACTGCCCTGCTCTGAGACCACTGACTGTCCCCAAAGCCCTTGACTTGTCTCAGCATAAACATCATGATTGAGGCACAAATAGAATGGCCATTATGCAGAGTGAAAGTATTCTCCTTTATTGTGTCTTTATCTATTATGCCTTAGCCAATGGTAAATAAAGTCAAATTTTACATTCAATTTATAACACCAGCAATTCTCATAATTTCCATCAGTAACTTTGTTTCTACAAATATTCAGTATTTACACTGTGTTAATGTATTTATCTACAAACTAGAGGCCTGGTGCACGAATTTGTGCACCGGTGGATCCCTTGGCCTGGCCTGTGGGAGGGCTGAAACTGGCTCTCTGACATCCCCCTATGGGTCCTGAATTGCAAGAGGGTGCAGGCCAGGCTGAGGGATACCACCAGTGCTCGACTGGGGCCGGGGAGAGATGTGGGAGGTTGGCCAGCCAAGGAGGGACTGCGGGAGGGCTCCAGGGCATGTCCGGCCCGTTTTGCTCAGTCCCAAGCTAACTTACCAGTTGGAGTGTCTGCCCCCTGGTGGTCAGTGCACATCATAGTGAGCAGTTGAGCGGCCTTAGCATATCATTAGCATATTACACTTTGATTGGTTGAAGGGCCAATCGGTCGACCAGACAGCATGTTAGGCTTTTATTATATAGGATATTATGTATTTATACTGTGGTAGATATGTGAAATTAAAAAATGAAATAAATCACATAAGTAATGGGTTTATATGAGAGGTAGATCTCTTTCCTTCTCCTTTCCACGATTCTGATTTTCTCTTTTACTAACCTTATGAAATAAATGACCTTTATTTAAAACCAGTTCAAAAAATGTAGAGAGTATTAAAAATAATTTGTCTTTAATGTTTAAAGAGTGAATCATTGATATCACCCCAAATCCTAAAGGTGAAATAGGATTTTTTTTTTTCAGAAATCACAGACATTCTTGAAGAATTATTCTGATTGAGTGAAAAACAATAGCTTAGTTGTACCAACCTGGGAACTTGGTAGAAAAACAAGTAAATCTCCAGGAACTTAGATCATATGATGGAGGCACAAATGTTTCCTGAGGACAGAGTACCACATTTGTGTAATTTATTGGAACACTCTTTATACTTGTGACCTTACAGAAGAGTTGCTATTCAATAAACTTGCCTTCATGTCTCTATAGAAATCCTTTTCAGCCCGGGCTGTGTCCCGTTCCCATCAAAGGGCAGAACACATCTTAAAGAACTTGCAACAGGAGGAAGAGAAGAAGCGTCTTGGCCGAGAAGCCAGCCTCATCACTGCCATCCCCATCACCCAGGAGGCTTGCTACGAGCCCACCTGCACACCCAACTCAGAGCCAGAAGAAGAAGGTGCCCTCTGCACATAGGACTTCTTTCGGGGCTGAGTCACAGGAAAGGGAAAGAGCTTGCTTTAAAAGAAACATTGATAATTTTATGTGAAATAAGGTCATATGCTCCCTCTCTCTCTCTCTCTCTCACCTCCTGACACTGTCCGAAGAAAGAAATATTTTCGTTTTCTAAATGATCACAGTCGGCCTGTTTCAAGAGGTGAATGTTTGCCACACTGAACAAATCAGTATGAAAATGGACCAAGCAGTGATTGAGATTCAGGAAACAGCTAAATCTAGAGTGTTTATAAAAGTAGATGCAATCAATCTTTCATCGTTAAAAATGGAATTAGTCTATTAACTACCTTCAACCCTCAGAAGTACAATTTGTTGGTTGGTATCAGAAAATGACTTAGGAACCATTCTAAAATCAGTGATTCTCTGCCTTGCTTTTGTGGAATCTTTGGGAGGAATTTTGTCTTTCTGTATATATTTTTTCCTTTTCTAAGTATACTTTAACTTACTTAAGATTTATGCTCTGAGACCACTATACACTTATAATGCAAGTACAGCTAGAGTTGTGATGGTAGCTATTTTGTTATGAAACCAAAGTTCACGTTCCCCATATTCTTTGCCAGTAGAAGAAGTCACCAATCTGGCATCCCGCCGACTGTCTGTCAGTCCATCCTGTACCTCCAGTACTTCCCACAGGAATTACTCCTTCCGCCGAGGGTCAGTCTGGTCGGTGCGTTCGGCTGTCAGTGCTGAAGGTGTGTCCTCTTGCAAATATGATATTTATTCCTCATGACATGTGGATTTTGAAACAGTTTCCAGTTAACATTATTTCACTTCACTATACTACACTGCCTTCATTAAATAGCTTGTTTCATGACTTGAAGTTCTAAAAAAATATTGTATTGAGTGGTAGCCTAAAAAATTTATCATTGATTTTATCCAGCAATTGTCCTTTATAAGTTGTTGCTGAGGGTTCCGTAGACTCAATTGCCAGTTAACAGTTTTAAACTCCGCCTACACATTACAAATCAGAATCTCTAAGGGTGGGACCCACACATCGGTATTTCTTAAATCTACTCGGGGTATTTCAGGGTGTGGCCAGTTCCCAGTAGGATGCTTTAAGAAGCTGTTCTGGAATCATGAAACAACCAAAGGAAGACCATAGCTCATGCTACTTCTGTAATGAAATCTGATTCCAGGGGGGGAATGTGATGCTCTTCAGTCCCAAGAATTTAAATGATATACTTCCCTGATAATGAGCAGCTGCCTGGGACTCACTGCTTCATGATTATACAAATTTCATCTCTGATTCATAAAGTCATTGAAAAGTCGTACAGAAATTATGCTTCATGGTTATGCAAATTTTTCACTCATTTATAAAATCATATTAAAAAGTTGTGCAGAAACCAATGGTTATCACCCTTTGGCTACACAACCCAGGGGAACTTAAAAAAATGACCAATGTTGATGGAGACGGTGTTAACATAAGGGTTAACATGAAGATCAACTGAATAGATTAGAACAACCAGAAGGAAACCATTATATGGATTTCATGTTTCAAAGGGGTACCAAGAAAATTCAATGGGGAAAGAATAGTCTTTTCAACAAATGATGCTGGCATATCTATAAACCAAAGAATGTTAAATAACTGGTCTTGAACTGAGAAGTGTTGTTGCACTAGAATTACAATACTGAATAAGAGCACCTTGATTATGTCTCCTGCTTCAGATGAGGAGCACACCACGGAACACACGCCAAACCACCATGTGCCTCAGCCCCCACAGGCAGTGTTCCCAGCATGCATCTGTGCAGCAGTGCTCCCCATTGTTCATCTCATGGAGGATGGGGAGGTGCGGGAAGATGGAGTAGCAGGTACGGTTTTATTAGTAAAACCAAATACTTATACTGTTCCTCTGGTATAGGATAGTAAGGTGTTCTTGAATATATTAACTATTGGCCACATGTTGAGTTGTTTTATGCATATGTTATAGTTATAGATTTGCAGTACTGTAGATCTATACTGTACTTTAGCACTATCACTATCTCTTCCTCTCCACCTTTATGACTAAAAAAATGCATTTAAACTAAGTAGCTGGGTCCAGGGGCATTGTTCATGACCAGAGAACAGAACACTTATTTGGCCACCTGGAAATGGTGATTTTGGCCACCTTAGAAATCTTAGCTATTAGCTACACATCACTAATGCCATCTTTCCACTTGGTTATCTTTCCAGAGATACTACCCAACGAGAATAATTGCAATATGAAATGATAAACTAGAGGTAGAGATGATTTACATTTGTAACAGCTTAATATTCTTAACGTTCTAAAAAATACTTAAGATTTTTTTAAATCCCCCCCCCAAAAAAGGGCAAAAGATATAGATACAATCTAATGACAATAACATCTGTAAACAACATTGTTGTTGAAAACAATGAAATCTTACACTTCAGCTGAAAGAACTTCAAAAATTATTTTAAATGAAAATACCCATGGTTGGTAATGATGGGGGGGGGGCGGTGTTTGCAGAACTTCTTTAAGGCAAAACAATAGAGACTAATTAAAGCTTAGTAAATTGCTTGAATACTTTATCTAATAGGTTTATTTCCATTTAAGACAAATGGTCAACTTTCTTTCTCTTCTAAAGTGAGTGCTGTGGCCCAACAAGTCTTGTGGAACTGTCTAATTGAAGATCCATCAACAGTTCTTCGACATTTTCTGGAAAAACTGACCATCAGCAATAGACAAGTAAAGTCCTTTTTTTAATGTGTGGCTATGTGTGTGAACAATGTTAAAAGCAAGCAATGGGCTGTATAATGCTGTGCATGCAACATCAGTGTCTTCTGATAATGACAAGGATGAGCAATGTTAAACTGTTATTTTCTTTCTAATTTCTCCATTAACTGATGTCTCCATAGTGTGTGATACACTGCTTATGATGACCCTAAGATACCAAACAGATTCTCAGTCTTTTAAACAAAGATTAAATTCAGTATAATTTTCTTAGAACATCTGTTGAACTCTGCTTGGTAGACTGTGTTCGATGCAGATAGGGTTATTAGAATATGTTGAAACTCTTTATGCAAAAATTCTAATTTAATGGACCACCCTATAATAAGACTGTGCCAAATAAAAGTAGTTTTCTGAGCAATGGTAAAATTCACTGATGACTGAAAATTATGTTTATTTATATGTTATGGTCCTGTTTGCTGGAAGATTAAGTTTAGATTATGAAAGGTAAGGTTAATTGCATTTTTGTTTATCCTCTCTTGGCCTAGCTTTATCTGTTTCACTTGAAACCTAGGAAGTAGAACTATGAAGTTCAATAAACCTGGTTTGCTTAATGGTGTCTCAACATAGGTTCTCTGGTCTTCTGGGCTAGGCTCCGCCCTTCGGGAATGAGCTCAGGTGTTCAAAAAAAAAAAAAAGCCTACGTTCCCCGCATGTTTCATCACACCTGGCAGCCATAGTAAATAGAGTTGAAAAAATATACCACTTTCCCATGATGTGCCTGTGACCTGCAGACACAGTCAAAATTTTGATTTTTTAAAAAGTTGTCTGACTGCTGCTCAGTGATTTCATATATTAGCTCCTAGGAGAAGGTGTTAGAGTTGGTTTAAATACTGTGTCACAAATATCACATAGACAATGTTAAAATGTTGAACAAAATGGAAGTCAAATGTGGGCAAAAGTAGGGAATATCCATCCCCCTACTTTTCAAGAAGTGAATTTTATTGCCTACAGCATGGCAGCTGAATGACGTAGAATTCTTTTCTTTCAGGATGAGTTAATGTACATGCTGCGCAAACTTCTCCTGAATATTGGAGACTTTCCTGCTCAGACATCTCACATCCTGTTCAACTACTTGGTGAGTTTCAGCCTCCAGTAGATTATAAATGTTCATTCCAAGTAGGAAGCAACAGCATGAGAAAAGGTCTTCCCTTAACTTGTGACTAAAGGTGAATCATAGTCAGCTAAATGTCATAGTCAGCTAAGTTCCCCACTGTGTGTGGGGAAACCTCTCCTGGCACAGTCCTTGATATGTGGTGGGTACTCAATCAATGTTAGCCTCCTCTCTGTCTTCCTTGGGCATTATACAACTTCCTTATGTTAGTTCCTAATTTTGGTTTGAGAAAACCTATATGTAGTTTTTAGTCATTTTTCCCTTATCTCACTATTTACACACACACACACACACACACACACACACAAATGTTGCCCTAGGTGGAAAGTATTTGTAAGTGTACGTTAGTATAGGAACTATCTATGCCTTAAGCCACCCTTTCTGCACCCTCCAGAATTTATCAGTTTCTTTGCATTCTCCTTGCACCCTAAATGGATATGCAGTTTGGGGACTATTAACATGATGCCTGTTCTTTGAAATTGCACCTTCATCCAGGCAGACAGATGCCAAATAAATTTCTCTGCTGAGAGAAACTCTTCTTTCTCCATTACTGTCATTGGTCTTCTAGCAGGTTGGGAAGTAGAAGAGTTGTTCATGTGCATCTGTAGCAAAATGGTAAATGTAACTTGCACCACAACATTAACGTGCAGAGGAAATTTGTAATTCCTTTCTCCTCTCTGTGACTGATTTGGTTTTCCTCCTGAGTGCCCACCTGCTAGTTGACAAGGGAAATAATAAAAATCATGTCCAATCCAGTTTTAAGTTCAGACTGATAAAAATCTATAAATAGTACCTTTGGATGGTGTTCAGTGTCTCTTGGCTAGAAATACTTAGTTTCTAGGAATTCCCTTCCCTTCCAACTGCTTTCATCTTTAAACACCATGTGAAGTTGGGAAGAAAAAAGACCTTTGTTCAGCGTTCCATCCCTTGTTCAACGTTGGCTCTGGCTCTTGCCTTCATGAGAGGGTGCCCTCTATCTGACTGGTTGCTGGATGCCCAGCCAGTGGACACCAAAGCCCACGGCTGCTGTGACTTAGGGTCCCTCTGCTCCCAGCGGTGAGTTCTGGGAGACTCTACCTCACCTCAGCCCCTGCTGAGTTCTGGTAGTGAGTCCCAAATGGCTCCAGCTAGAGGACCCTATACAAATGTCACCGACTTATGCTAATTCTATCTGGAAAGCTCTCCAGCCAAACCGTCTGCTCCTTCTTTTCCTGTCTACATCACACAAAAGCCAAAGGTAGATCACCAAAGCCAAACCTCAAGGCCTCCCTCAGGTATGTGCTCTGCCCAGTTTATGTTGCATCCAGGTTGGTGTGGAACGTCTCTGAGGTGAACTCTTGTCAGACACCCTAACAAAGACTGGGAGCAAGGGCCCCTTCGGTGTGCCTACCCATTCCCAGGCCACTAGGTATGGGAAATGCTTCCTTGGACCACTGCTCTCCTCCATCCTTTAGCCTTGAGATACGAAGATGGACATTTCATTTCCCTTCTGCCATATACTTCCATCAACTCAAAAAAAAAAACAACTTTAATGCTAGACACAGTCTTCTCAGCTGCATAATACATAAGAGAAAAGGGCTAACCATGCTTTGTCTTTGCTTTAATACCTTGTTTTGAATGAATATAAATTTCTGTTTCTGCATTTCTGTCTAAAACCTAATCTTTCCCTGAATCCCAAGCACATGGATTTTTTAGGTGGACTAGGGAAAGGGTCTTGTACTCAGAATGGCACAATAATAAAGAGCAGAGAAGTTTTTAAACCATTACCCTTATTATACATCTTTTATGTAACAACTATTATAGATGTGTGTGGTAGGAATATTGGGGACACTAATTCATCTCTTCCAGACTTTGTTAGGGACATTTATTTTATTTTAATATATTTTTATTGATTTCATAGAGGAGAGGAGAGGAAGAGAGAGAAACACCAATGGTGGAGAGAGAATCATCGATCGGCTGCCTCCTGCCCACCCCACACTGGGGATTGAGCCCGCAAGCCAGGCATATGTCCTGACCAGGAATCGAACTGCAACCTCCTGGTTCATAAGTTGACGCTCAACCACTGAGCCACGCCAACTGGGCAATTATTAGGGACATTTAAATCCACTGCGTAACTTGACTCAGATATCTTCAACCTGGGGTCTGAGCACATCTGGGCATCTGTGCAGACTTTTAAAGGAGTGTGTTGCCCACAAAGTTTTAAGGGAATAAATCTCCAAATCCTCAGCTTACAAATATGTACTAACACTGTTTGAGCAGGCCTGCCATCTCAATCATCATTCTACCTGCAGCACACAAAGGCCCACCCTGACCATCGCAGGTACCTGCAGGCGACATTGACAGACACATTCGACAGAGAAAGAGTCTGACGCACTGTGTTAGTTTTACTTTTAAGGAAGCCTCATTTCTGATTAATCAAGGCCCTTTGAATCCATAGGACTTCCCACCTTTTTCTGTCTTTTACAGATTTGACCTCATTAGGTTATTCAGCCTTCAGATTAGATCAGTGACACTGATTTTTTCAATGTAACTGGAAAATTGTATAGGATTAGCAAGTTTTTCAAGAAACAATGGATAAAAGCCACTGGAAGGGGTGTGAACTTTTACACATTTTTCTGATTTTTGTTGGGCATAATTGAATAAGGCAGTTAAAGCTTATTTCATCAAGTTTGATGAAATACACATTCCAGTTACAGTCAGTCCTGCTCTTATTTCAGTGTATAGAATGTTTAATATATTCTGTTCCTATTAACAAAAAATAACCTTATAATGAGACATTTTAAATGTCAGCTTAAAATGTACAGAAGGACATGCCGATTTTCAAAGTTACTGAGAGGACACAACAGCTTTAAAGTTCACCTACTTAGCCAAACAGACAGAGTGTTCTTCAGTTCAGATCAATAGACATAACCCAGTCTGCCAAGAGTGTTTGGCCAAACATCATATAGAGATTATTATCAGGTCAGCTAACTACCTGAGTGACAAGTGACTTGAAGCTTGGAAAACTGATCTTCTGATTTCCTCTTAAGAAGCACCATTTTTAGTGACACATATAAATGGGCAGCAATCTATTCTGATCAGTTTTTCACCCTCTCCTGCTTACTGCCATTGCAAGGGTTGGAGAGCCCTGGCCAGTGTGGCTCAGTTGATTGGGCATCATCCCGAGCACCGAAGTGTTGCCCTTCGGATTCCTGGTCAGGGCACATGCCCAGGTTGTGGGCTCAGTCCCCGTTAGGGGACGCGTTGGAGGCAGCCGATCAATGTTTCACTCTCACTTCCATGTTTCTCTCTCTCTCTCTCTCCCTCTCCCTTCTTCCCTCTCTCTAAAAGTCAATAAAAATCTTTAAAAAGAAAGTGTTGGAGAAGTATTTGAACAGAAAATACAAAGGTACAAAAGACGATTTAATCAAGCAAAGAAAAGCCAAGGAAATGAGAATGTGCACTCAGGATCTTTGTGGCTTTGTGAACTCTCCCCGTTATGCCTTGCAGGTGGGATTAATCATGTACTTTGTGCGGACCCCTTGCGAGTGGGGCATGGATGCCATTTCAGCCACCCTGACCTTCCTGTGGGAGGTGGTGGGCTATGTGGAGGGCCTCTTCTTCAAGGATCTGAAGCAGACCATGAAGAAGGAGCAGTGTGAGGTGAAGCTGCTGGTGACCGCCTCAATGCCAGGTAATCCACCACTGCTTTTGGACGACACATTTTCTTTAAGTAACCTTTTATTATTTGTTTTTTTAAATTTATTTTTCAATGACAGTTTCCATTCAATATTGTTTTGTATTAGTTTCAGGTGTATAGTATAGGGGTTAGAAAACCATATACTTTATAAAGTGATCCCCCCAATATTTCTAGTACCCATCTGACAGCATACATAGCTATTAAAATATCATTGATTATATTTCCTCTGCTGTATTTGATACCCCCATGACTATTCTGTAACTACCAATTTGTACTTCTTAATCCCTTCACCTTTTCACCCATCCCCCCAACCTTCCTCTCCTCTGGCAGCCATCAGTCTGTTCTCTGTGTCTGTGAGTCTGTTTCTGTCTTGTTTGTTCTAAATAACCCTTTTAAAGACCAAGCATCTCTTTCATTCATGAGAAAATTTTCAGAGTCCTGACCCTGGTGTTGAGTGCTTCAAAGAATTTTTGTTTAGTACAATCTGAAAAAAAATACAATAGGCCCTTTAAGAGTTAGCAATTGCCAGATGAAAAGGGAGACATCAGAACTGAGATCCCTGTGAATCAGTCCTTGAAGGGCTGCCAAGGTTACAGATTTATTTAAGTCTATCGCAGAGGGCCAGCTGAGCTGAAAGCCTTTTTGAATGAATTTTTGGCACTGCAAGGAGAATAAATATTGTTTGCATGGCATGGGCCCCAGTCCTTTGTAAACTCAATGAGAGATGGCTTTATGAAAAAAGGGAAAAGGGAAAATCAGGAAAAGAATCACAAAAGAACATGAAGTGTGATGTAAACTCTAGATACAGTTTCTTTTTACTTTGAATCGCTTGTCTTTGTTTAAGATAAAAATTTTGCAAAGCCTTTATCCTTGTGCAGTGACTAAGGAAATATGAGATGATACATGTATTGATGTAAAAAGAAAGACACAATTATGTATAAGAACACAGGTTCTGGCAGCAAAGAAGCCTGTGTTAAAATCAGAGAACTGCCCTTTATCGTCTGTATAATTAGTATTGGCTATAAAATAGTTCATAATTTTTCAAGCCTTCTTTCCTCATCTGTAAAATGGGGATATAGCCATACTTCACAATCCTGAGAGATAAATGGGTTTAGGTATGTAAAATTCTCACTACTGTACCTGACTCATGGTAAGCATTCAAATAAATGCTAGTTGTGTATTTACATATATTCTGTATTAAGTCAACAAAGTGATCAGTTTTTATTATAACAAATAAACTCATATTTTCATTCATATTCTTAAAAACAACTCATTAAAAATCAAGGTACATCATAATGTTCGCAAAGATTTGTAATTAGTGAATGAAGTAGAGTAAGTACTACCTCACTGGCTAAGTAGAATACTGAAAATGTACATTTAAACTATATTTAAGGTACTTGTTTTGGTTTTGCTAATATTTCTGTTTATATTTTCTCAACTGTTATTATTTAAAATACTGGGCATATTTGTTGCAATGCTTAAGGTTTGAATTCTGACTCTTCCACTAAATGTGTTCCTTTGAATAAGTTACTTATAAGTTCTTACTTATAAGAATAAGTGCTATTTCCTCATTTGTAAGATGAAAATAGTAATACCCATGCCTGGCCGGTATGACTCAGTGGTTGAATGTCACAGGTTCGATTCCCGGTCAGGGCATATGCCCTGGTTGCAGGTTCAGTCCCCAACAGGGGTTATGCAGGAGGCAGCCGATTGATGTTTCTCTCTTACCAATAATTCCATCTCTCTCTCCCTCCCTCTCTCTCTCTAAAACCAATAAAAACATATTTTTAAAAAATTATAAAAAAGAAAGAAAATAGTAGAACCCATATTAGAGTTGCTGTGAGATTTAAATATGATCATGCACATAAAATACATGAAAAGGTATTAAGAACTCCATAAATGGTAGCTGTAATTATTTAGAAAATGAATATATTTAAAATATATATTTAACTAGAAATAGAGGAGTGCAGTTAATATACTACACAATTCACATTAAGCACTAATAGTAATAATCATAACAATAAAAATATCAGCTTATTGATAATATTTTAATATTTTGTGCTTTACTAATTTTCTATAGTAGAAGTCAGTTCATTATAATTTTTTCCTTCTGTAGGTACCAAAACCCTGGTGGTTCATGGGCAGAATGAGTGTGATATTCCTACTCAATTACCAGTCCATGAAGACACTCAATTTGAAGCCCTGTTAAAGGTAGGCGTGACTTTGACAGGAACAATTTTTTAATGGCACAATGACTATGAACACTTCCCTGACCATCCAGCTTAGAATTACATGGCATTTTTCTATCTTCCACCCAATATGTACATTTATTTACCTCTTCTAGAATCCCTTCCTCTATTTGTGTACTTCCTCCATTTTCTTGTGTAATTTTCTCCACTTTTACTGACATGTTAGCTCTGCGATGAAGTAGGCAAACTCATGCAGCTACAATTGCAGCATGACCCTGCCCGTCCCCCTAACTACCATGGGAATGCGGTGCACTCCTGCCTCGGAGCTGCCTGGCTCGCCGTGGGGGCAGCTCTGCAGGTGCCTGGGTTTACACACTGAGCACTGGGGCAAACTCCAGCTGTCGGCTGGGATCGATGCCAGAGACTCTTCTAGGGGCATTTGTGTACAGTCTTGACTTGTCACTGCTGGAAATTATTGGAGAAGCAGAAAATACATACCTTAGAATAAATCAAGTGAGTTGAGAAATTATTTTTAATGGTTATGGCATGTATTCCCCTCAAAAGAAATGCAATCCATAGCTGCAAGTCTGTAAGGTTTTTAAGGTAATGTAGTAAGTAAACTAGAACTATGATTCCCATTGGACTCCTTGGTGTTTATTATGTGTAGTTCAAACTTTTGGTAATTGATTTCCTGTAATACAACTCCAGGCTCAGACAGAGTAGAAAGGACCTCTGAAAAATTCCATTTGCCAAACTTGTATATTTTATTTCAGTAGAAAGGTTGTTAAACTTCCTTCAGGTCTCACCCAGACATCTCCTGGGAATATCTAAGGCCCAATGAGGCAAAATTGAACAATCCCTCCATCTTCCTACTCTATGTTAAATGGTAGGATAACATGAAGGCAGAAAGAGCTCAAACCCAGGCTCCATCACAACCAGTATGACCTAAATCAATTAACAAGACCTCTCTACTGTCGGTTTCTTTTTTAACAGTACTGGGATACTAGTGCAGGTTATACAAGTAATCTACATAGAAAGCCTTGAACTTAGAAAATAGTACATAATAAGTGCTCAATGCATTGTAGTTTGTATTATTTTTCATGTTGTTACTAAACTGCTTTCTTCCTGACATTGAGTCTAGTAGATGTAACTATGCTTCCATGGTTCCTCATTCAGTCTGAAATATCATTGTACATCTTTTAGCACTATGAGAGTAGATGGTTTATATCACCTTACTAGTCTTTATAATATCATTCTTTGGATAACATCATATCCAAATGCAGTGTGTATCCATATATTTACATGCACATACACACATATATACCCGTGCATAATACATAAGAGTGTATAAGATATATATATATATATGCACATATATATAAAATCCTTATAAAAAGTTACCTTATTTTTATAATATTTGTATTTTGTAGCTTACTACCTGGCAGCACATAGTATGTTCTCAATAAACCTTTATTAAAATGTATTGTTATTATTCTAGGAGTGTTTGGAATTTTTTAACATCCCAGAATCCCAGTCAACACATTATTTTCTCATGGATAAACGATGGAACCTTATCCACTACAATAAGGTGAGACTGTGCAGCAGTGACATTCATGTTGGGTTGTGTCAGAAGCTCATCATGCCTTTCTTTGAGGGCAGCAAGCCCTCAGGGAGGCATCATTGTTTAGAGGTTAGGAGTATGGCCACTTAGGCCACACAACTTACTGTCTAGGTAGCTGTGGACAAGCCACTTTACTTTTGGAACCTTCAGTTTCCTTGTCTGCAGACTGAAGGTGGTGATAATAGTATCTACTGTAGGGTTGTTGTGATCACCAAAGGAGATAGGCCAAGTAAAGCATAAAGTGATTGATTATTATTAAATTTAGATGAAAAGTTAAGCTGTTCATATAATAACACATGTTTCTAACTGGAATTTTAATGTTTTTCTGATTCCCCCTTCTATGATGGTAAGCATGATCGGGGTGACCTGATCTAATGAGCAAAGGGGGACCTCAGGAAGACCCCTGACATCACTTTACAGCGACTTCCTTCCAAAATGTCATTTAGTCAGCGGCCTTCGGCTCCTTGGCTTCTGACAGCAACTGGGTATTCGGAAAGAGTACTCAGCCTGGGCGATGCAACGCTTTCCTGAGGAGGGCTTTTACCTTCCTTGTTATTTTGTCAAATTGGGGAATGTACCCTAGTAAGAATCAAAACCGTTAGAAAATACATAACTTTTGCTTGTCTGACCTAAAGAGAAATGAGATCAAAAGTGTAATCATCTCTTTTGTCTTTGTGTGATCCCATCACAGACCTATGTCCGGGATATTTATCCTTTCCGGAGGTCAGTGTCTCCGCAGCTGAACCTCGTGCATATGCATCCGGAGAAAGGACAGGAGCTCATTCAGAAACAGGTGCCTGGCCACCTCTGTTTTCTCGTGTCATTGGGATAATTCTGGGTAAATGGGTTGCCAAGCCTGAGAGTCTGTGATGCTGTTAGATCCTCTCTGGAGAGGATGGGTAGATGGGCCCTTGATCAATAGATAGTTCCCCAAAATAGTTTGTTTAGTTTTGTAAATGGGATCATAATATAAAGTATTAAGGAACACTCACCTGGAGTAGTGCTATGATGAATCATTGGGTATAAACAATAGAAATTTTCTCATTTATTTGCCTATTTGTTTCTAAGCATGGATTTTCATCCCATAGTTTTGTAAAACAGGATTAGAAGTACATATGACATAACTATTAGAAGGTTGTCCTAGAGGTTTATGCTAGCTGGGAAATAAATAAGTGGAGAGAATCAGTGCAGTGATGTCTGAAAAGAATACTGAACTAAGGTCCAGAGACTGGACTCAGACCCAGCTCTGCCCCTGACCAATCATCTGACCTTGGGCATGTTACTAACGTCTCTTCAAATAGGAGACATAATTAAGCAGTTGTACTTAGATTTAAGATTGAAGAGCATAGGTCCTGGCTAGGTAGCTCAGTTGGCTAGAGCATCATATCCCATACGCCAAAGTTGTGAGTTCGATCTCTGGTTATGGCACAAACAAGAAGCAACCAATGAATGCATGAATAAGTGGAACAACAAAACTCTCTCTCTCTCTAATCAACCATTAACAGCAAATTTTAATTAAAAAAATAAAGATTATGCATAAATAAGTGGAACAACAAAACTCTCTCTCTCTAATCAACCATTAAAAGCAAATTTTAATTAAAAAAATAAAGATTGAAGAGCAGAATAATGTTCACGTGTCTTATTGCAAATCAGACTTCAAGCTTAAGGAAATTCACTACTTTGCATGCAAAATATAAGTGTAGTATATAACTCTAACAATATAATTTTAATATGATCCATGCATTACATTGTTTTATTTTTATTTTTAATTAATTTACATTTATTTTTAATAAAATGTCTAAACAAGAATTTCAGGATATTTTATAATTTCAGTTTTTCTGCACATAGCAAGGATGCTAACTCGGTATCAAACTATCCAAAATACCTTCATGAAATGAATAAGAATGGCATATAATTAGACCACTTATGCAATTAAAATATATTTATGATTAACTACCTAAATTACATTTAAAAGAAAGAAAATAGTGAAGGGGTTACAAGGTGTGAGATGTTGGGCAAAACTGTAAGATCTTACATTTAAATGCTTTCAGAAACAATTCTCCCCAAATTATCTCAGCCCATAATTTTAGCAGCAAAATAACTAAAGCCATCATAGATAATGGCACTTCATTAGTTTGTTTTTTAACCATGTTTAAGAACATGTTTTAAAAGAATGGCATAAATTGGGGCTCTGGCTCTGTGTGCACTCAGGTTGGACTGAAAGATGTCTTTCTAAGTTCCTCAGAAACTTAGTTCCATCGTTCTGGCTCTGAAGTTTCCTCAGTAATGCCTCACTGCTTATGAAGTCCAAAATCATATCCCCTGTCCACTGATCATCAACAGAAAAAGAACTAAGAGTAGGGGCTCAGAGGCCCTTGTTCATGCCATCTAAATTTAGGGCTAAAGGACTAACCTAGGGTCCCATCAGCTTTTGTCCCAAGGTAGATTTTTCTTGGATCCCATTTGGTTCAGTGTTAAAGAGGCAAACTCAGAACCAACAAGAAACAGCTTAAGGCATCAATGGAGATGGTAGAAGCAATTGGAAGTGACTGTTAGCTCTTGTTGGAGAAGGTCTTCCATATTTTGATGTCTGGGCAAATGGCCTCTATGTGATTGAACTATTCTTGACAATGCTTGCGTTGTGGTCCTTCCAGCCTGCAAACTCTGTAAGAAACACTTCCTCCCATAGAGTAGACACATGCAAGAAGTGAGAGTCAATTAAGTATTATTTGCTCTTTCTGTGTGGAAAAAAAAAACCACAAAAACCACCACACACACATTTCTCCCTCATTTCCCTTCCCCCAGCCTTGATTTTATCAGCCCGGTTTGCCATTACAGATTTTACTTCCATTTCTTCACTCTTTGTCATTTCGGAGTTTCTGATTCTATTTGTGTCTGCTCCTGCGTTTGGTTGCTGCAAGGTGTTCACGCGGAAGCTGGAGGAAGTGGGGCGAGTTTTGTTCCTCATCTCCCTGACGCAGAAGATCCCCACGGCCCACAAACAGTCCCACGTCTCCATGCTGCAGGAAGACCTCCTCCGACTGCCCTCATTCCCTCGCAGTGCTATCGATGCCGAGTTTTCACTCTTCAGCGATCCTCAAGGTATCCAGACGAAAGCATCTCCTCTCTCGGGCGTCGCATGCCCTTGTTTAGTCCGTGGCTGGAGGGCATCTCCATCAGCGGACAGTTCTGTAAGCCAGGGGTTCTCAGCCCTGACTGCCTCCGAATCACTGGCAGGACTTGATCAAACACAGGTTGCTGGGCCCCACCCTCCACCATCAAGTTTCTGGCTCAGTGGCTCTGAAATGGGGCCTGGGAACTTGCATTTCTGATAAGTTCCCAGGTAATGATGATGATGCTATTCTGGGGACCAAACTTGGAGACCACTGCTCCAAGCTAGGTCTAAGCAGCTGAAGGAAGTCCTCTGATATTGTTAGGTTGACTAAGTGAAGAATAGGTATTTATAAGAAGCTCAGGAGGAGGAAAACCAAGCTAGGTCTAAGCAGCTGAAGGAAGTCCTCTGATGTTGTTAGGTTGACTAAGGTATTTATAAGAAGCTCAGGAGGAGGAAACCTGTTCTCTCATGACAGAGAGCAGGACAGTGGTGGCCTCCAGGTTGGGGGAGTCAATTTCCTGGAAAGAGGCATAAAGAGAATTTCTGAGGTCCTGAAATGGTCTTGATTGGGGTGGTGGGTACTTAAGTGTGTATTTTTGTCAAAACTCATTCAACTCTATAAGATCTGTGCATTTCACTCTCTCTAAATTATAGCTGAATTGAGAAAGAGAGAGAGAAACAGAGACAGGAAACAGAAAGAGGTGCACTTTGAAACCTCACCCTGTTGCTCAGTTGTTCATTTGGGACAGTTTACTGAAATGAGCAGACTTATGCTCAGTGTCTTCATCGAGACGGAGCAAAGCGACCGTGGAAAGAACTCCAGTCTGACCAGAAATTAAAAGACCAAGCAGTGGTCCCAACCCTGCCATTTTCTTTCTGAAATAACGTCTCTCAAAGCCACAGCTTACTCAGCAGCAACCTGCTGCAAATGTCTCCCCTGTCTGCCCACAGAGTTGCATCAAAGAGGTGATGCTGAGAGGCCTTTGTGAGCCAGGAAGTGTCACGTGAATGCCAGCAATATTGTGCTGGGAAGCCTTTCGGCAGTAGATTGCCACATCCCGGAGTTGGAACACATGGGAGACAGCAGTGCCCTCGGGTTGGATGGCCCTCCCACGCCCACAGGGTCTGCGTGGGGCTAATTCTGTGTCTGCTTTTATGTTCTCACAGCTGGGAAGGAGCTGTTTGGCCTGGACACTCTTCAGAAGAGCTTGTGGATCCAGCTCCTGGAGGAGATGTTCCTGGGCATGCCCAGCGAGTTTCCCTGGGGAGATGAAATCATGCTCTTCCTCAACGTTTTTAACGGGGCTCTGATCCTGCACCCAGAAGACAGCGCCCTGCTCAGGCAGTACGCGGCCACCGTCATCAACAGCGCTGTGCACTTCAACCACCTCTTCTCCCTCAGCGGCTACCAGTGGATTCTGCCCACCATGCTGCAGGTGCCGAGCTCTCCTCTCCCAGCCAGAGAATTAGCCCGAGTACTGCTCATCAGCAGGTCTACAGGATCTATACTGAATTTTTTTAAAATATATTTTTATGGATTTCAGAGAGGAAGGGAGAGGGAGAGAGACATAGAAACACCAATGATGAGAGAGAATCATTGACTGGCTTCTCTTACACACCCCCTACTGGGGATCGAGCCTGCAACTGGAGCATGTGCTCTTGACCAGAATTGAACCTGTGACCCTTTAGTCAGCACACTGACGCTCTATCCACTGAACCAACCAGCTAGGGCTATACTGAAATTTTTTAATGATAGAGTTCTCTTCTTTTGTGACAGCAGAAAGCACCAAATGAACTCCCCCTAAAATTTTCCAAGAGGTCACAATATTCAATCCTCTGCTGAGATCCCCCAGACCTGGAATATGCTTTCCCGTTTCTTCTGGGCCCGTGATTCTCAAAGTATGGTCTCGGGACCAGCAGTACCAGCATCACCTGGGAATCTGTTAGAAATGCACATTCTGGGATCCATCCAGACCTGCTGCATCAGAAACTCTGGAGTCGGGGCCCAGTAATCCAGTTTTAATAGGATCTCCAGGTGGTTCTGATACCTTAGAATGTTTGAGAACCATTATTCCAATGTATGGCAAGTGTTCAGCTGATATTTCTTCGAGAAAGTCTCTGACTTCTCTCGGGACAGAGATTTTCATTGCCATTACATTTGGTATAAAGAGGCTGATGGTGGTGAATTTATTAGCAGGAGGACTTTCTGTTTACGCACGTCTGATGTGTATCTGGCCACGTCAGGAGTACTGAATAAAGTTCAGATAAGGCTGGGGGATCATCCTCATTCTCTAGTTTTGTGGAAGTTTTCATAAAAATTTTGAAAGTATTACATGCTCATGCAAAATAAAATTTTCTCAACCTACAGGGGTAGGAAATTTACTTTCAATATCACCAGGGCTCTCTGACCTGTTTTTAAATAGTTGGAATTTTCTCTCTTTTTATAACTTTTGTACTGATTACTAAAAACAATAAATGCTCATTATAAAATAGAGAAGATAAAGAAAAACTTAAAGAAGAAAATAAAGATCACTTATAATCCTCCTTCCCACATGACCATTGTTTCCACTTCTTGAAGACCCTGGCACTCTATCCTGCCTTTTTTTTTAAAAACAAAAGTTGAATCATATCATATATTCAAGTTTGTTACCTACCTTTTTCATTTAAGACTAAGAACACCATGGATATTTTTTTCCATGTAGCTACATTTAGTAGTATAGCATTTAAAAAATAACTGCATAATATTCTGTTGTATACACATGCCATAATTCACCTAACTAACCCCAATTTATGAGTAATTTAAGTTTCAAATTTTCCACTGTTATAAGAAACCTTGCAGTGGACATTCTTGTATATACACCTTTGTACATTTGTCCAACTCTCTTAAGATAAGTTCCTAGTCACAAACTTCCTGGGGAAAAAGTTTATTTATATATTTTTAGGATTTCTATGTATATTACCCAATTTCTCTGAAGGAAGGTTATACCATTTACCTCCCCTCCACCAGTTGAAATGACCCATTTCCCTCCCTGTTCCCCATGGCGATGAGGCATTTTCTGACCGTGTGGCATCTTCCCACAGGTGTACTCTGATTATGAAAGCAACCCCCAGTTGCGCCAAGCCATCGAGTTTGCCTGCCACCAGTTCTACATTCTCCACCGGAAGCCCTTTGTGCTCCAGCTGTTTGCTAGTGTGGCCCCGCTGCTGGAGTTCCCAGTGAGTAAACTCTGGAAATCAACGAAGATCAAGCAAACGAGAAAAGCTCTTTATTCACAGCTTGCTGTATCGAGGGCATCACCCACCATCAGTCAGGTTTTGGCAGAGACTCAAAGGCAGACAGAGGAGAGAGAAAACTTTATAGGGAGAAGAGGGAAGGCTTCGGGTATGTTCTGATTGGAGGCTGTTGGCCTGGCGAAGCTGTAAGTGGGCAGAGTAGACACAGGGCATCCTATGTGATTGGTTAGGGGTGCATATTTGGTTTTCTCTGATTGGTCTTAAATTGGGAGCAGAGACAAGGATTAGTTATTAATCAAGTCCTGTCTGTTTGGGGGTTTATGGGTATAAGGATTATTGTTTGGTTTCCACTAGAGCTAGTACCCTGATTTCCAACAAGTCTGATGGATTGCATGCTGGTTTCCTGGGCTGGTGTCTGTGGACAGTAGGTTTGGGTTGGTTTCCTGGGCAGGTTACTGCAGTTTGGGGATCAGCAGTTTTATTGTTATGTATGGCCTGGCCATTGATCTTTGCATAATCAGTCTCTCAGCTCTCTTTCTTCAACCAGTGGGATATGAATGTCATACATCATTTCTCTTTCCACAAGAAACTCATTTCTGTTCAACATTTCTTTTCAACCCTCACCTCAGCCCCTAGATATAAATAGGCCAACTCTGCAGTTTTTTCATACTCAGTTAATGAAAGGATGGAAAATATAAAATGATAAAAGGAAGAGTTCCTGATTCTACTTCCTTTCTATTCTCTGGCACACCTGACTTACCCTTTTTCTCCAGCGCATTTATATAGATCACATCCCTTACACATCTTTGTTTAAGTGATATGGATCTCTACCACACCCACAATAGAATTAAGCTCCATTAAAGCAAGACCCTTGTCTTTTTTTTTTGGTTTGTTTTTAGCTTTTGTTTTGAGTATATGGGTGTGTTTGGTTTTTTTTTGCTTTTGTTTTGCCATAACCTTAGTGCACAGAATGGTGACTAGCAGAGAGTAGGAATTTAATAAGGAATTGTTATTTTAATAAAGGAATCAAATGAATAAGACAGATTTGAGATGTTACGTATCTCCATTTTGGAGCTATGTTAGCAAATAGGATTTGTAAAATTCCCAGAGCTATTAAATATGTTACCCCAAACGTAGTTGAACTGTTCAATTAGCCCATTACAAATTTGCCTTTGCAAATGCTGAATCCTACAATTGCAGATGAGAGGGTCCATTGGCATGATGTTTTCCAGCAGTTGACATATTACTGTATTCTTATGAGTTTCCACAAATATCTCTTTTGTACTAGGTTAGCGTTAAAACTCAGGTGTTCCACTCCATAGTCACACAGCAGCATTGTTGGGTGCAGAATCATGTATACTGAATACCGGTTCAATGTTGTGATTGTTATCAACAGTAGTGTTTATGAAATTTGGATTCCTGGTCAAACCATATTCGTACTGAGGTGGAATTAAATAAACTAAAATTGTCTTTCTTTATACAGGATGCTGCCAATACTGGGTCCAGCAAAGGTGTGTCAGCTCAGTGCCTGTTTGACTTGCTGCAGTCCCTGGAGGGCGAGACCACGGACATCTTAGATATCTTAGAGCTGGTGAAGGCTGAGAAGCCGCTGAAGTCTTTAGGTAGAAGCAAAATTTGTCTTGAAAATTTTTTTCTCTTTGTAATTTTTCTTAAAGTAATAACTCTATGTTGAATATTTTGAACTAACTCAAAACAGCAAAAATAAATGGAACAGTGGTGTAAATTGAATGAGTACATTTTCCTATCTCCTGTTTTTCTTACATTTCTTGTCAATCCTAAAGAGTAAGGAATTCTCTGCCATGAAAATTGTATCATAATGATGCTGAGTGAACCACTATTCAAGCACTGTACTTCTCAGAAAATGGGGTGTTCTTGGGCAATTATAAGGGAATAACCCCCCAAAAGGGCCTTTTATTATCCTATTTGTTAGAAGGCATGTCTGACTTTAGGCCATCCAAACGTATCTTCTAGGAAGTGAGCTTTTTAAAAAACTTCTCCTGAAAAGCGCTTTTATTTGTCATCTTATTATTTAAAAGTTTTTAAAAAAATAATAGACTTTTTAGTCACTTTAGATGAAGAAATTAATAGTGCTCACAGTTTAGGAATGAAGTCTGATGAAGAAATGGCTGCAAAAGCTAACTGGAAAGAAAATGTTAGAGTGATAAGCTGTTCTTATTTCCTGGCAGAATCCACTCTGATTGTACGCCTTCACCTTCTGTCCCTTCAGATTTCTGCTATGGAAATGAAGACCTGACTTTCTCTATAAGTGAGGCCATTAAGCTCTGTGTTACGGTGGTGGCATATGCTCCGGAATCGTTCAGAAGGTAACTGCAGACCTTTACTCTGTGATAAGTAAATATGGTAAAGGAAATAAAATTGAATGCGTGCGGGGGTTATGTTTGCTAATATCAGCCTGTGTCCTTCTGCCAGGTAAGTTTTCAAAAACAATTTGGGAAACTAGTCATAGCCAAGGTTCTGGAAAATATAGTAAATCTTCATTAATTTGGAATTCCCTAATTTAGAATTTGTGCAGCAGCTTAGATGTTTAGTCTTGTTTAGAGACTATGTTCACATCTAATAAATTAACAGTAAATATAATTTTAGAATAGACATTTAATCTATTTAATAAAACTCCTTTCAAGAAGCAATGAAGCCCTAGCCAGTCTCCTCAGTGACTAGAGCGTCAACCTGTGGAATGAAGGGTCCCGGGTTCAATTCTGGTCAGGGGCATATACCTCGGTTGCATGTTGGATCCCCAATCTGCGGGAAGCAACTAATCATTGTGTCTCTCCTCCTCCCACTCTCTCTAAAAATCAATGGAAAAAATATCCTCAGGTGAGGATTAACAACAAAAAAGAAGCAATGAAAACGGTCACATTAAGAGCAAGAATATAAAATCTTTGGTCATTATTTCTACCAGTTTTCCCAAGTCAAATTTTGGTGTTTGTCTTCCTTTCTCCATGCTTTTAAATATGATTCAACCAACAAAAGTAGGATGTGAAATATGACCTGGTTTCCTTTCTGTTGACATAGTCTTCAGATGCTGATGGTCTTGGAAGCTTTAGTCCCATGTTACCTACAAAAGCTAAAGAGGCAGACATCACAGGTGGAGACAGTACCTGCTGCCCGAGAGGAGATTGCTGCCACAGCTGCTCTTGCGACATCCCTCCAGGCCCTTCTCTACAGTGTAGAGGTCCTCACCAGGTAATCCCATCAGCAGAAATATCCACAGCCTTGCCCTAGCCGGTTTGGCTCAGTGGATAGAGCTTTGGCCTGCGGACCGAAGTGTCCCGGGTTCTATTCTGGTCAAGGGCACAAGGCCGGGTTTCAGGCTCCATCCCCAGTAGGGAGCGTGCAGGAGGCAGCCAATCAATGATTCTCTTTCATCATTGATGTTTCTCTCTCTCTCTCTCCCTCTCCCTTCCTCTCTGAAATCCATAAAAATATATTTAAAGAAAAGAAATATCCACAACCTTAAATTATATGTATCTACCAAAAAGATGAAAAAAAAATGTGATGGCTAAAAAATTTCTGAAAGCAATCTTTATTTATATCTGCTCGAATTCAGTCCTTACGGCTTAAAACTGCAAATATCCCTAAGCTGTTTGGATAAATAGTGCTAAGCACTATTATTATTGTTGTTGTTGTTGTACCATGATTGCTAAACACACATTTGCCTGTAGTTTGATGAGCATCTATGGCAGTTTTAACCAATGCTAAACAAATCTTTTGTAAAAGGGCCAATTTAGTGAGTATGAAAATGTGATCAACATTTTTTATTGGCTCTTATTTTATGAAAATGTCTGCAATTCCAACTAAGCATTCTTTTATTATTTTACTATTTACAATGAGTTGTTTTTACTATAATTTTTAAAACTACATAACAAACATAATCTGCAAAATTTTATTCCAATGCCATAATTAACAGATTCTCTGTGGAACAAGGCTCAGTAGTGCTGAGAGAAGGGGCTGAGAGATTTGGGACTTGAAAGGTAAATTGTCATCAGAGTTCAGCCCTAAACAAAGTTGCAAGAAATTAGTATATCACAAGATTCTTGGGTGCAGAAGGCATTGAAAGACTGGTAAGGGGGGAGGGGCGGGAGGGCTTGGAACAGAGACAAAAGATTGAGTGAGACGAGTGGGGAAGGTAGATGCAGAACACTCTACAAAAGATTGGCTTTCCTTCTCCACTGCCGTCTAAAATTAGATGGAAGGGGGTATTCTTCCCCGAACTGGAGATGGGAAACCTTCTTCCTGGGTTGGTTTCTTTGCTCCTCCATCCCATTTGGCCACATCCTTAGCCTAAAATTCTGTCTATGACTTACCCCCACCGAAAGGCACCAACTTCCCAGCCCCATCTTGCTCTGTTGATGACAGAGCTAGCCGAAATCCCTCAGTCCTGGGAGGACTTTTCCACATGCACCAGCCAGTGAGAGAGGGAGTGAGATTGTGACTAATTAAGTCAATATATGTGTAGGTTCTTATCATGAGCTACATCGGCAACCTAAGCAAACAGAATGTTACCCAAAAGCCTTGGGTGGGCTATCACTGCCAAAGTGCTCATATGCATCTAAACCAGTGGTTCTCAACGGTCTGGCCCTTTAAATACAGTTCCTCATGTTGTGACCCAGCCATAAAATTATTTTCGTTGCTACTTCATAACTGTCATGTTGCTACTGTTATGAATCGTAATGTAAATATCTGATATGCAGGATGGTCTTAGGCGACCCCTGTGAAAGGGTCGTTCGACCGCCAAAGGGGTCGCAACCCACAGGTTGAGAACCGCTGATAAACTGAAGAAATGGGAAGCAGAGAACCATGGCAAACTGCCCAGTCCAATGGGCAATAGTCCTAAGGTTTTTGGTGATGGTTTCAGAAAAATCCCAGGAGGAAGAACATCTGAAGAAGAAATATCAGACTTACACTCTCCTTTCTGCGCCATGTGGTTATGGCACCAGCACCTCTCTGCAAGTGGAGGAGAGAAGCGCAGTCAGTTTTCCCCAAGTGACATTTGAGTTGTTTCTCCTTATATTCTGCAATAGTGGTGCTTTCCTCCTTTCTGTTCTCTTTGATAAGTCAATTAAATTACTGATTCACCCGAAATTAACATTGACTTACCCAAAATTCCACGAAGAATTATGGATGGAAGTCTGACATTTAAAATTCTATGACTTTAAATATTCCGGTGCATTTAATAATTGTTGCTGGAGTGTAAAACCAGCCTCATTGACTGGTTATAATTATTCACACACAAAAAAATGGCTTTGTTGTTTTTACAAAAAGAAGATAATAAGAACCTCTTTTCATTTCCACACTCTTAATTTCTTTACTCATAAAAAAAATAAGTTATAGAGCTGGTAACACATAAACAAGTATATTACAATTATAATAGCACTAGCTTTCTATTGTTGTGTAATGCATTACCACAAACTAGAGGCTGAGGACAAAATACATTTATTATCTCATATTCCTGAAGGCCAGAAGTCAGGGCGGGCTCAGCTGTTCTCTTTGCTCAGGGTCTCACAAGGCCAAAATCAAGATGGTAGTCAGTCTGGGTTCTCACTGAAGGTTCTGGGTGCAGAATCCACACCAGGCAGCTCTAGGTCTGAGATCCCTTTTGTTTTCTGCTTGCCGGCCTCTCTCTGCTTTAAGAAGTCACCTGCATTTTTCTCACCTGCCCCCCTCTGTGCTCCCACCAGCAAGGGCACCATGAATCCTCATGCGTCAAATCTTTCTGCCAGAGAAAACTCTGCTGTTTAAGGCTGGTGTGGTGAGAATAGGCCTACCAGATCATCTCCTTTTGGTCATATCAGGTAACATAGTCACTGGAGTAACACTCGGAGTGAGTCTGTAAATGTTGCTTCTCATTTTTAAATCCTGCCTCTCAAAACAAAGGCCCAGGAGGAGAAGGTCTGGGGTGATTGTTGAAAGGCGACTCACTTTCTGGCCACACCCTGCATGCGGAAAATGAGCATCAGAACAGCAAGCCTGAACCAGTTCCCACAAGAAATTGTTTTTGAAAAGCTGCACCATCCCTTCCATGTCTCAGTTGCTGATAGAGAGGCAGAGTTTACCTAATCCTTAAAGTGAACCCTGCAGATACCAAATTAGATGACTCAAATCTACTTCTAAGTGTCTAAGTTGCTGACTTATAATAGATAGTAATTTACCTACTTCCCTGAGTAGTCTTAGGCATGATTTTGTTTAGAACTATTCTTTCATTCTTTGGTAGTTCCTCACAAAAATAGAGTGGTTAATTATGGTGTCGGTGGTCAAAATGGTATATAAATTTTTACTTTTTACTTATTATTTAGAATGGTTAACATCCTGGTACCTGTAGAATTGAAAAATGTGCTCTTAACTCTTGATTAATACAGATTTAGAAGCCTGATTTCATACATGTCTGGTTTGAGGAGTCAGTTTATTACTCAGAACCAAGTGGAAAAACTTTTTTTATTGTTGACACTATTACAGATGTTCCTCATTTCAAGTGGAAGAACTTAAATCATGGTGAGCTTACAGATCCTTGGGAAGTAATGTGCCTTTTAAAGTATCTCTCAGAACAAAGACAGCAAAAGGGTGACAGAAGAGCCCAAAGCTAGATAGCCTGTCTCTTTGAGACTCTAACTTAAAACTTATGTGAGCTTCAATAACTTGAAGATTTCATAAATGTTTCCACTTCTGTTGTTGCTGTTGTTTTGTTGTGGTGGTTACTGTCCTTGCAGGCCCATGACAGCCCCACAGATGAGCAGGTGTGACCAAGGTCATAAAGGCGCCACCACAGCCAATCACACCATGTCGTCTGGGGTGAACACCAGGTAATTGACTAGCCTTATTCTCCCATGGTATCTCCATTTCATACAACCTGAATCTCCACTGTTGGGCATGAAAGGAATCCTGAAAATAGTCAATGTTAAGTGCAAAAATCTCCTTCCAAGGAAATAAAAAGGAAGGTGAGAGTTTGGAGTTCAAGAAAGTACCAAGGCTTCATTTGAAATAACCAAAGAGAAACCCAAGCCCCTTTCATACATTGGCATTTGTGTCAGTGTATTTGCATGAACATGAAGATGTTCTCTGCCTCCTGGGTGGTCTTTGAACTATTCCAGTGTTGTTTCATTTCCAAGAAAAAAGCAAATAAAACAATAATCATCCGGAGGTGGTTCTTCATTCCGGGGCAGGTATGAAGAGTCAGTTTTCTTTCATCTGGACAAATTTCCACAGATATTTTATCCAAACTGACCTAGGTCCTTCGGTGATGCTTTCAGGGTCATTGACTTAATCTCCTTCCCTGTTTTGGTGTAACTCAGACACTGGCTCTCCTAGTTAATACTCTGCCTGCATCATTCTGTCTGTGTTAACCTCTAAATAGTCTAACACACACACACACACACACACACACGCACACGCACACGCACACGCACACACACACACAGAGTTTAATAAGCTTCTTCCTCTAAGGAAAAATTAAAATAGGGCAAACCCAAAATCAGTTTTAGAGAAAGTTCTTTCTTCTTAGTATGAAATAGTTAGCAGGAGCTCTTAAAGAGAAATTAATTTTCCAGACTCTCTGAAGCACATTTTTAAGTGTGTATTATTATTTTATGTGAAATTAATTTTCTGCTCGTCATATATATTTATTAGAGGCCAAGTGCACAAATTCGTGCACGGGTGGGGTCTGGCTGGCCCGGCCCCAATCGGCAGATCAGAGCCAGGCCTATCAGGAGGAGGAGATGGCAGGAGGTTGGCCGGCCATCCTGATCAGGTGATCAGGGCCAGGCCAGCTGGGGGGAGGGACCACAGGACCCGAATAGGGTGGGGGCTGCCGATCAGGGACGG